GTGGCGAAACTCCGACCGACAAGCCGCAATCCTCGGCCGCGCGGTTTTTCTGGCGTCAAACGGCAGTTTGGCATGCTCGCATCCTTGGACGGCCTGCGCCGTGGATATTTTCTGCATTTTTTTTTGTTCATTTCCACCTCCGGCCGCCCCGCGTTCCTAGCAAATCCATTCGAAGCATATTGTGATGGCCCGGCGAATGATTGGATCTCGGCCAAATTGCCAGAGATGTAAGTCCAGGAGGTGTACACCGTGTACTGGGCCCGGAGAGGAGCTTCCGGCCGTCGCAAGTCTGGATAGCTAGGTACACTAATGTTGCCACGATTGATTGGACCCAGATGGTTGCGGTGGACGGGTAAGGGTCCTGCTGCTCCGGCACAGGGTTCGGGCGATGACTCGGGCTGTCGGGGTTGGCGCCGGAGAGGTATCTCTGGGTGAAAGAAGCGATGAGATTGGACAATGGCTTGGCTGGTGACTGGCGACTGGTTACGAATACCGTCAGGAAAGCTTCCCAATAAGCTTGAGACAGACCTTTTCGCCACAAGCATTCGAGATGGTTGCGGGAGAAGGAAACATGCTGCCGCTGCAGGCTTTCGGCTTGCCAATTGGCGTCGAGAAGGGATCAGGCCTGCTGGAGAAGGGAGAGGGAGACCTACAAGGGCAGCGGGGGGCCGCAATGTAAGTGGAGGTCTGAAAAAAATCGAAAAGTTTGGAGAATCCCATGTTGACAGTGCCGTCAAAAATCTGGCGCGGCGGCTTTGGATAGTCGTGGTTGCAAAGGATTTCGGGTAAGGAGGCCAGGGGGGGCGTACGTTCCCCCGAGTACCTCCCCAGGTACCTGCTCTGTACGGTGCAAGGTACGTATCTAAAGTGGTCTCCAATGACACAACAAGCAGGCACGCAGACTGGAGCATTACTTCAAGGAGGAAGGAGCAGAGAGATGTGAGGCGAGGCGAGGCAAGACATTTGACAGCCTGGAAGGAGGGAGGAACAGGGCACACAAGGCAAGAAGCAAGGACAAACTTGGCTACCTATCGTGCTATCTTAACTTGAAGTGAAGTACCTGGTCAAGACACGACAAACAAGCACCGATGGCCCCCAAATTCGAAGGCATCACCCTATGTGTGTGCTTACCTTATTCTCTGTTGGCCCAATAGGATACCGAAGGGTACGTCAAGTTGCTGGACCCTGAAAACCACTTGTGAGAAGCCAGCTGACTGAATGTCAACCAAAGCTAAAGGGTAGGTAGAGAGAGATCCCCCTTGTTGGAGGATGAATTTGCAGTTCGCAAAATGGCATTACTCGGAGACACTCCGGCAAGAGGCCGAGCTCCTCAAGACAGAGTTTTTCATGCTCCAAGTCTCCATCTCACTCATGGAGTCATGATGCTTGATGCTTGGGGCCCTTGGGGTGGAAGGGGAACAAGAACCAGCGGGAATAGATTTGCACACTTACGTCAAATGTCACGGTGCAGTTCTTTCCTTGGCCTTGGACCCTCCAAGTTGGAGCGTGGGGCAGGCTGGTGGGGCTTATGGGGTCCTGTACAGACCGACTTCCCACTGTGGGCGCGACAGATGCGCATTGCGGTCGGTGTCGGTTCAGTCACCGTCAGACTTCACTGTGAGTTTCCTGTTTCCGACGCGGACCCTGTCCACGACTCCAGCCTCCTCCTCCACCACCCCCATCCACTTGGAATGTCCGCAGTTCCGTCCAAACCGCCAAACCGCCCAGACAAAGGACCGCCGCCGGCTCACTATGGCATCCGACCGCGTCAAGGACGCTGACAAGTGACAGTGGACTGGACGTGGGGTGAACCGCGCGGGCTCCATGCTACACACTACCTTACACACACAATCGCGATTCGCGATTGAATCACGGCTACTGGTCAGCGGCACAAACACCGCGCCCCGTACCGCCGCAAATCTTTCCTCCAAGGCTCCAACGTCTCGACGGTCTTGTTACTTTCCGAGGAGACTCGTCGCACACTCTCCGACGTGATGGAGCTGTCTGGTTCCCCAACTCCTCCATCGTTGTCCCTCGCGGACACTGTACTAGTCCACTCGGCCATCTTTAATACTCCGACGACGAAACGTCTCCAACTGAGGTTTACTCGGCCTAGTCCTCGTTGGCCACTTTCAGCCTTCCACCTGATACTCCAGCTCCGGCGTTGGTCTAGTCTTCGTGGACTCCGCTTCCTCTCTTCACTCATCAAGCTTTCGTAGCATAGCTTCCACTTACCTTACGGTCACGATATTCCACAGCGGTGTTGCCCCAACCACGTGGGTTTAGACGCTTGGCCGGCTTGCCTTATTACAATTTACCACTGCCGTTGGCAAGCGGGAGAATCAACATTTGGGGGCTGTGGAATGATCAGACCACCAATGGGCCGAGGGCCTGCGTCAACTTACAGGCCTCTCGTGCCCAGATATCATCCAGATGTGCTGGATGCGTTATGGGCTGCCTGGGTAAGGGGAGAATGGTCTAGACCACCGGTCTCCCCGCACAATGGCTCCCTCATGCGGCTAACAGCCAAACCAACTCATGCTGCCGTAGCTGCAAATTGAGCCTCTTACATTCTTAGCGCGACGCTTCTCAGGTCTGATATCTTTTGTCACTGGGCAAGCACGCAAGCTGGGACATTGGACGGGATGATGCAGGATTTCTCGAAGCAGCCCTCGATCCACAACGGATAGATGAATCTGCCAGGCATCTCGGCTCCCTCCACGCCCTTGTCCTCGATCATTGCGATTCTACCTTGTTTTGCGCGGTAGTGACAACTCGTCTGTGTACTTGACAGCCGGCCGACGCCTGGCCACGCTACGGCAAGGCCTTGGCTGAACAGGAATGATGTTCCGGCGCCGATGGGAGAGACTGGCTTAGAGTGCTTCACGACACATTCTTGCAAGCGCGGCACCGAACATACTTCAAAGCTGAAGGATACTCAACTTGCTGAGACTGTTATGGTCATCTACGTCATGACTTTCGAAAGGGTGACGGCGAGGCTCGGCGAGCCGTTGGTTGTGGGAAAACGGCCAATGAGCCAGTAGGCCTCATATGCCTTATTTCAAATTGCCATGCCATGATGGGCAGAGATGAGACATGAGACTTTTCTCCACGCCTCATACCGGTGTAGCTTGGTCAGACAGGATGAGTCTCGCCAACCCAAAAATGCTGTAGGCATGTTTGGGTGCACGTTTCCTCGAGCCACTCCACCGCTGAAGCAGGATGGCCAGTTCTCTGGATTTCACTTGCCATTGGCCTCGGAAGCGCATAGCCGCCCCCAGATCACCAGTTGAGCACGTTGCTCGTTACCCAAACTCAAGTCAGGCCGATGCGAGGGCGAGGGTACGGCAGGCTAGAGCTTAACGCCAATTGAGCGAGGCTGAAGATGTAGGGCGAAGCTTGGAGACCTGGACCGGGAGATGCGGTCGTGGGCGCCAGTCCGCAGCCCGATGCTTTCTTTTTCCCTTGCGACTTGGTGCGGTACTCTGTACGAATACCGCATGATCCCGTGTCGCAGCTGTGCAGCAGCAACCAAACATTCACAAGCCCAACAGCGAAGAAAAGCAATTCAAAGCAGGCAATGATCTGTTGAAGGGTCTCGACGTTTCCGACGCTTTGCTGCGTTTACCAGGGGTTGATTGTCTATTGATAGTACAGCTGCGAATGCGATGCCTATCAGTCAGGTATCCGCCACCCGCCTGGCACGCCTTGTTTAGAATTTGAGGCTAGCGATCCGTCAAGTGATGGGGAAAAAGCCAGTGTCAGTCAAGAAGACGCCAAAGCAGGAAGACGAAAGTTTTGAATTGCAGGGAGCACATGGAGCACACAGCAAGATACGACGTATACCTAGGTGTGATTGTACCTTTTCCCTGTACACTGGATGTACCTTCCCGAGTACCTCAAGCGATACGTACCGGGAGGCGACTTTGATTGACCGGGGAAGGCCCAGGACCGATGTGGCTGGGCGTCCGGGCCAGACACGGGACTAACAAGACACACCAAGACCAGAGCGAAATCGAACGAGTGGGCGAGCAAGCGCGGTCCCTGTCTCTCTTTCTTCTTTTTTGGTGCTCTTCTTCTTTCCTCCCCTCATCCCCTTGCACTTTTGGGAAGGGACCTTGAATCTTTAAACAGTCCAGTCGGCAGGCAGGTCAAGTCGGCACGTTACATTACTTGGCAAGAGGAAAGGATAGCACGAGGAGCGTGGAGGTACCTAGCCACAGGCCATCGGCCACAGTACAGTTCCTTACCTCCTTGCGCTACGAGTTACTTGGCTACGTACTCGGACACAGATTGCTTCCTGACTCTGGAAAGTGGCTCGGCGGGTCGAGTGGCGAATGCAAGACTGGGTCGCTCTCCATCGGATTCCTCCGCCCGTCGCCCTGCTTGTCTCTGGTGTTTGTCGCTGCTCTATCCGTTACCTTACTCTGTTCTGCTCTTGCTCTGTTCTGCATCTCGCTCTCTCTTTCTCATTAGCCCTTGTATTCACTGCCTGTCTTTTCCATGTCTCCCTCAATACTTGTCTCATACCTACCTAGTATTCGATCCGCCGATACCTGTGTTGTGCTTGATATCATCGACTACGAGTGTCTAGGCGAAGTAAGATATCTGATGGGTTAATCATTCTCTTCCTCTGTCCATATCGCCATCTCTTCTACATCATCCTCTCTCTCTCCGCAGTTTCCGGCTTCGTTGTTACTCGATAGCTCTCATACTTGAAGTGCCCATGCCAATCGTAATTGACCAAAAAACAAGACTTCCATCTACAAGTCCATCCCTGTTGACACAAGGTGACAAGCTACCTTCGTCTAGTTTAGTTCGCGGCCCGGTCAAGTGGGAGGGCCACCCGACCACATCTGTGTCCCTTGCACATCTTAGAGCGGCAGCCAAGAACCGAAGAAAAAAATACCATCTTTCTTCATCCAATTTGATGCTACTGATTCCAGAACGGGCACCTGGCCATGCACATCAGTTCGTTCCCACATCATGGATGCTCCCCTTACCCGCATCGCCCCTTCTACCGCCACCCCTCCGTGCCCTCTTTAGTAAGGTAGGCTCTTCCTCAATCCTCATCCCTCCCCCTTCCCCATTCCATCTGGGCTGAACTGGCCCGGGCTACCTTACGAGCAAAAACTCTCTACTAGTTCTACTACCTAGTGCCTCTGTGCTTCTCAACCTCTACCAATTCTTTCCCATGAAGCGGGAAGCTGTGGCTCTGTCATCTCTGTCTTCCCCATCTCCAATTGCACTGCTTTCCCCATCTGCTTCTTGGCTTCACACACGCTTACACGCCTCTCCTCTTCTAACTTCACCCCTCCTCGAACGCCACTTAACCCACTGTCTGGCCCGGTCGTTTCCTTCTCGCCTTACCCGTCGCTCACCCGGACTCGACTCTCAACTCGTCCTGTCTTCTCTCTCTCACAACAGCCTCGGTGTAGTGTATGACAGTCCCCTCGCTCATGAGCACTGCCATCTCGGCCTCTTCCTCGTGGTATCCGTAAAAGGGCGACACATACACTACGGCAATAACGGACGCAAAGCGGCGAAGTGGTTGCCGCCTACATCCCGGAGCTCTCCTCAAGTCGGCCAACGGCGCAATCTTGGAACCCACCTCCAGTGCTCCAGCACCTCATCGACAGCTCCCCCGACCTCGAAACTGTGGGCATTATCCTGCGCAATCTACTCTACTTCAGTACGTGCGTTTCTAGCATCCCACAACTCCTCCAACGTTTTCTCTCAAACCCCTACGCCCCAGTCGCCGCTTGCCCATAGCTTTCATATTGCTCAACAAGCAACTGGGATTCTTCGAGCCTCCACACTCTACACTACACTACACTACTTGCTCGTGCAAGATACCCGGCCCTTGGGTTTTGGCCACCGTCCTGTCGGTAACTCGTCACCTTCCTTGTGCCGCTATTCCACGCCTTTCTCTTTGCTGCCCGGGTCTCATGATAGCCGTTGCCTTCCTTCTTCCATAAATATCATTGGACGTTGGGAGACCAAGCACTCTTAGTGTCTGTCTCCTTCATCACTCAGCTACCACAGCAACCTTTAACTGGTACGCCAGCACTCTTCTGTCTAAACCCTCGCTTACGTTGACTTGGTCTTTCTCAACGGGTCGAGTCTCGTCTTGCCACTAGGGCTTCTCAGTCGTCAACTCTCTTTACTCCTCTATCCTCCCGAATCGCACTGGATTGGACGTCCGCTGGCGCGCAACACCACATCGTCATTCTAACTTGGATTCCTCCTATCATTAAGTCCCGAGCTCGCATTCGTCCTAGCAGCATTGGAATCGCAACTCATAGAGTATCGATCTATCAGTCCTGCCAGCGTACAGCAGCAACCCCTGCGTCGGCGCCCCGAAGTTCAGGTAAGAGACAGCCCTCGTTTAGTGGCAACCGCACCACCCTGAAGCCGCACCTCTCCACACGATATGCATGCCTGGAGTTCCCTAACCTAGCCCCTCGCGTCTCGTTTCTTCGTCCGTCCCGTCATCTTCGGCAGCTCCCCCTTCACCCCGGTACCAGAGGCTACGCCGTGCCCCCTGCTTCGGGCTCTTCTCTGCATTGGTATTGGACGCCCAGACGAGCTGATCGCCTTCTAGGAATTTCATTGAGCCACACATTGCACGCTCTCCTTCCTGAGCAGGGTTAACTGCCACATATACCCTTGGGCGCTCGGAAGCGTGACTTTCCAGAGGGAACCCCCCCCTTTCCTTCAAAGGCTGTGCAAACTAGCCACATTGGCCACAACGTGGGCTTTCACTCATCTACCGCAAATAGCTCAATCTTGTTGTGGCGCCTAGAATCATACATACTTCCCGTCACATCCTGACCGTCTTTCCTCTCGTCCGGGTTTTGCTCCGTTAGAGCTGTCCGTCGACCCAGAGCTCGGAGGACTGGACTAGTACTTGGCCGAAGGTATAAACTACTAGACGGACCTCATTCTGGCTATGTGGCGCCGTTGGTCCCGGCCGCCGACGTTTGGGCATTTTGCTAACTCGGTTACGACAGTTTGTGGGCGGCTTAAACTGCGATACAGCTCGCACAATCACCATACAAATGGGAGATGTTCAATCCCCTCCCAAAGTCACTGAGTATCCTATCGTGGACTCTCACCAAGGCGTAAACGCTGCAAGTGTTTCGCCCATTTACCTAGACGAGAAGTCGAGAATGGAAGCTCAAGGCATCCCCCACCCGCAGCATCAGCAGTACGGCCCTCCTCAACATGCCTTCTCGTCTCAACTCGACATGGCTCAGCAACCCGCAGCCGGCCGCCCCGGGAACTTCAACTTGAACAACATGGCGAACGCGTTGCCCCAGTCCAACATGAGGCATGGGAATTATGTACCTGGTGGCCAGCCGCAGCATCAACAGCAGCGATTCAGCCCTGCTACATCCTCGCCTTCGATGATGCCGCAGATGCCACAGATGGCTCCTCAGTATCCTGGTCAAGGCGCGATGCCCATGGGAAACCCGCAGTACTACATGCCGCAACACCACCAGATGCAGCATTACTATACCAATCAGCTCTCTCCGACTCAGCAGCAAGCTCGCCCGAACATGGGATACTATCCGAATCAGATGGTCATGAATCATCCGCAGCATAACCAGATCCCTCAAGGGTATTACTATCCCCCAGCTGGCCACTACTCTCAGAACCAAGCTCGCCACAACCCCATGGTCTCGGCACAGTACATGGGGACAGACACTGGGCACAGTGACCCAAGAGTCATGCCTCAGATGCCTAACGGGATCAACCCTAGCGGTATGAACGCTCCTTCGAGTCACAGGTCGAGTGGTATTGCGCGCCCAGTGCCAGTGTTTGGGAGAAGCATCACTGACCGAACCATAGATGTGGGCGATGGCCGATCTGGTGTTGTACGCGGCCCACCGCGAAAACCGCGCCAAAGTGGTTAGTTATCCTGCCACTCGAAAGGAAGACTCGCTCGCTGACAACGATATCAGGACATGCGATCTGGGTTGGAAATCTTCCGCCTCAAACCGACCTCATGAACCTCGTCCACCACGTGTGCAAAGAAGCGAACGGCCTCGAGTCACTATTCTTGATATCGAAAAGCAATTGTGCATTCGCCAACTTCAAAGACGAACAAACGTGCGTAACAGCTCAACAAAAGCTTCACGACTCCAAGTTCCAGTCCGTTCGCCTGGTCAGCCGCTTGCGCAAGAGCACCGTCGAAGGCGCAACGGGCGTTACAGCACCTACGGGCCCGGCGGCCTCTTCTGGATCGCAAACACCCCATGACGTGGTTGCACCACCCAGCGCTCCTGAAGCTGCCCCCGAGGCTGCAGTGGCAGAGTCCAACGACCTGAAACCCGTCACTACAGTAGAAGCAACGTCTCAGAAGGACAAATTCTTCATTCTGAAAAGTCTGACTGTGGAGGATCTCGAGCTTAGTGTCAGGACGGGGATTTGGGCAACCCAATCTCACAATGAGGATACGCTGAATGCTGCTTTCAATGTGAGCAGTAATCTGTTCTTTTGGTTTTGCATGTCTGACTTGTTTTTATAGGCCGTTGACAACGTCTACTTGGTGTTTTCTGCGAACAAATCAGGCGAATACTTCGGATACGCAAGAATGACATCCCAGATTAACGAAGACCCGGACGCCGCGATCGAGTTTGCCCCCAAAGCGCAGTCCGCAAACGATGTCGACTTACCGAAGGCAATTCCTACCGAACCCACAGAGTTTGCGCCCAAGGGCAGGATTATTGACGACTCGGCCCGGGGCACCATCTTCTGGGAAGCAGAGCGTGAGGACGGAGAAGGCGGTGACGAGGAAGAAGAGACCGAGGTGGAACACAGCGATGCAAGCAGCCGAAAGAGCGGGAACCAAGAAGCTGATGGTACCACCAAGGCTTGGGGGAAGCCCTTCAAACTCGAGTGGCTGTCGACGGCACGACTTCCATTCTACCGTACCAGGGGTCTTCGTAATCCATGGAACTCGAACCGAGAGGTCAAGATCGCGAGAGACGGCACCGAACTGGAACCGTCCGTCGGAAGGAGGCTGATTGGGCTCTTCAATAGGGTCCAGAGTCCCGGCCCAGGATCTGTGCCGGCCATGCGACCCGGAATGGCGATGATTGCAGGATATCCGCCCATGCGGCCACAATTTCAACAATAACGGGCACCGGCATTGCTGGCGACATGGGCAGGACTCCTTTTCCCAGTCATTAGTCCATTTGGATCCGGACTCTGTGGTTTACGATCGGTTGGACATGTTTTTACGACAACAGCCGCATATGCAGGCCATGGCGAGCGCTGACATGGTTGGTTTACTGGATGCTGCTTCTCAATGTACCTAATCTGGCTGTCTAATTCTACGAAAGAGTTTGGTGTATCTTGCGCTTGCATTGGCGTTGAAGGGACGGCGCCTGGGCGATATGACAGCTACCGAGGCAGTTCGCGCGGATGGACTGGTCAACTGAGCAGATTTTCTCCATTTCCCATATCCCGCCATATGCGTGTGAATTACCACTTGGTCCGGCGAGATGAAGGCAGAATGCAGGATAAAAAAAAGTTGGACAACATGCCATTGTCACTGCGAATCCAAGACATGTCGTCGATCAGCTGTGGCACCTTCCCGGTGGCGACATCCACATTGTGGCTTGACCCTGGAAGGGATGAACCCGGACGAGCGTCGGGATCACGACTCGAACTGCGACCTCAAACCTTAATTGGCATGGTTGGACGTCGCATGGCTCACCAGGCACGTATCATTCGATTGCCGGTTTTCTGTTACTGGGAGCTGATGTCAAGATGCGCAAATTGCCCATACAGCTGATCAGGGAAATCTTTGTGGAATCGACTGCAACATGTGACTTTGCGTCAGATTCAAATTCGATGCCGGGGTTTCGTCGAAAAGTGAAGCTAGCGTGGATAATGTACCGTCGCATTTGAGTGGGCAACGGATGGATTTTTGCTGTCAAGGGTACCGGAGTACCACAAAATTTGAATAAATCCAAGGTACGGCCAGACCTTGAATTTCTGCGAATTCTTTTTTCTTGGTACGGATCGATATCTCGTCCAAGTTTCTGTTGCGGGGTTGCTATAATTGCGACGCGACGATTACTGAGGGTCTCCGTCTCTTGAGTGAGACGAACGTTTTCCCCACGTTCTGAGGTACACCCTAACTGACCACCGTATTGTGAGAGACCAACCCCCTGAGGCCGAAGATGCTACGCCGTGCGGGCTTGACGTATCCGCAGGTAATGTACGGAGTTTGACTCAGCAATGTCGTACTGCTGCATTGGAATTTTTTTTTCTCTGCTCGTCGTGTCCTGTCCTACTACACTACCCAAAGAAGTGGGAACATCGTGCAACAGGTTTCGACGGGAAACCACACCGGACATGCAGACTAAAACGGGAGTCGCCGTGGGCTGTACCACTTTGCCCTCCCCCGATTTGTGCGATTCGACACGATGATGGGGGCCCGCGGGCTGGTTTGGAACAGGAGTCTGGACCTGGCCATGGGCGATTGAGAAAGCCTGGACTCTCATGGACTCTCGAAGTGCCCCGGCACGGACCATCCGTTTGACGTCAAGGGAGGAAATTCGATTGGTTGAGTGAGAGATGGCGTCTTGCTGGACCCTTGTCGGAGGCCGGAACTCTAAAAATTGGGCGAGGTGGACGTACCGCGGTGGCTTACAGCGGTTTGGAGCTCTTGGAAGACCTAAAGATGCGATCTCGACCTTGTGGATGTTGACATATTTATAGTATTGATCAAATGAAGTTGCTATTGAATAACTGACATAGTGCGTAAGGGCGCGAATTGAACTTCAATAATATTCTCCTGCAAATCAGTGTGGTTCGGTTGAGTGATGTATCACTGCGCGGGTGGCGAATCCAATGGAAGCCAGTGGAAGGTTCCAGCAGCTTCCACGCCTCCGAAGCTACGAGAACCCTCCTCCCATCGTGAGGCAATCGCCAACGAGAAGCTTACAGATCCCTCCAGAACAGGCTTTCGTAGCATGCGCGTCCCTTCCTCGACGTGCGAGTCCATTCTCGAAGGATCTTGCGGCGGGTCCTTTGATTTTTCAGCGATGTTGCCGGAACGCTGGGGAAGGCACGATGGTGCCTACTTCCATTGTATAAATCCGTCGTCTTGATCACGTCTAATACCGATTTCTTCTCATCTGATCAGAACATCAAGAACAACAACAAGCAAACACAGCTACAACTCTCTCACACAAAACAACAAAAACAGCCACCTCTCCCAACTACTATATCTTTCTACTCATAAACCAACCCACAATACTACCACTTCACACCCTCACCACAACCAACAACAACACCATCAAAATGGCCGCCTTCTTCCCCCGCAACTTCTACAACTCCGACGCCTCTTTCACCCCTCTCTTCCGCCTTCTCGAGGACTTTGACAACTACTCCCGCCAGGGCAATGGTACTCCTTCCGGTGGCGCCCGCGGCACCCACCGCAACCACGTCCCGACCTTCCAGCCCAAGTTCGACGTCCGCGAAGTCGAGGACGCCTACGAGCTGCACGGCGAGCTCCCCGGCCTGAGCAAGGAAGACGTCTCCATCGAATTCACCGACCCGCACACCCTGCACATCCGCGGCCGCGTCGAGAGGTCTTACACCGCCGGCACCCCGCCCACCGCGGGCCTCCTCCAGTCCTCTTCCGGAACTGAGATGAGCGGCGCCATCACCGACGGTAGCGGCAACGATACCGCTAGCACCACCACCAGCACTGAGCGCCCTCGCTCGCCTCACCAGGCTACCGTCGAGGATGAGGACGACGACGAGACAAACTCCACCGCGCAGCCTACGCCCGCCACCACCGTCGCCGAGGTCGACAAGTCTGCCTCTGCCGCTGCTGCTGCACACCACCACAAGAAGGAGCCGGTCGACAACGCAAAGTACTGGGTCTCGGAGCGCAGCATCGGCGAGTTCAGCCGGGTCTTCAACTTCCCCGGCCAGATCAAGCAGGATGCCGTCTCGGCTGGCTTCAAGGATGGTATCCTTTCGATCCGGGTGCCCAAGGCTCCCAGGCACGAGACGCGCCGCATCTTCATCAACTAAGATTGGCTCCGGTATTTTTTGACACCATCATCATGGCGATTACGACCTGTTCGACTGTACAACAGTAAACAATAATGAGAATTGAGTGGATCGGGATGGATTTGATGGAGGGATTAGCACAATGGGTCTTGCATTGGGATTGGTGTTTCGGCTTTCTTCCTGCTTTCCTTCGCTATATACTATCAATGAGAATAAAACAGTTCAAAAACAGATTGATTCCAGCATGCATTTGTGAAGTTGTCTACTTTGAGCTTAACTTGAAAAGAGATGGTGAAGGTCTGAGCTGGGAGTTACAACATCTACATGTGATGTTACAAGCTGTTGGATACAAGAACCACTTGTTCGGACAGTGGCTTAAGGCGAGTTCTCAACCGAGTCCTGACATTTGAAGACTGCGACAGACCTGCGAATACCTTATCTTGAGGATGTTATGATGGAGAATTGCCGCGCTGCTCACCTGGGGATGTCTTCGATGAGTAATTATGAGGGAAGCATGAAGCGTCTTAGTAAGGTAGGTTGACGCTAACTCCAGGCACACGGTGGGGCCGACCGGCTGCTTAATTGCCGCACGTGATTTGGCGTATTTTCCTCCCACTCGGTCGCCACCACCAGTCATCCCCGACGCGTCTTAAGAGCCCGCGCTTGCCCACCATCAACGATTTCGTAACTGTGTGAACACCCAACCCGCTTCCTGACGTTCGACTTCGCGTGTAGAACTGCTGTGTCTCCCCACGTGTAATACCAGCTCTACATCACAATCCTACGTTGACGAGCACAATGGCCGACGCTGACGGCTATGACGAGGGCCATGGCGATGAGAGCGGCGTGACCGGGCCCGGCGCGCCTACGCCACTCACTGCGCTCGAGGTAAGTCTCATATAGGCATTTTGCGTCGTATTCGGTATGCTGACGAATACTCCGAAAAGGGAGTTGCCGGCTTGACGAAGCGCGATATCCAAATGGTCGTCGACGGCGGCTTCAACACCGTAGAATCAGTAGCGTATACCCCGCGCCGCATGCTGGAACAGATCAAAGGCATCTCGGAACAAAAGGCAACCAAGATTCTCGCTGAAGGTATGAAACTGCAAAAAAGACGTTTCGCGCGTATTTTGCTGACAGAAGAAAACCAGCCTCGAAACTCGTGCCAATGGGCTTCACGACCGCCACCGAGATGCATCAACGCCGAAGCGAGCTCATCTCTATCACGACTGGCTCCAAGCAGCTGGATACACTTCTCGCCGGTGGTATCGAGACCGGATCGGTGACTGAGCTGTTTGGAGAGTTCCGTACGGGAAAGAGTCAGATTTGCCACACTCTTGCTGTGACATGCCAATTGCCTTTCGACATGGGCGGTGGCGAGGGCAAGTGTCTGTACATCGACACTGAGGGTACATTCCGTCCCGTTCGACTGCTGGCCGTCGCCAACAGATTCGGTCTCTCTGGAGAAGAGGTTCTCGACAACGTGGCATATGCTCGCGCCTACAATTCAGACCATCAACTTCAGCTTCTCCAACAGGCTGGTGCCATGATGTGCGAGACCCGCTTCTCGCTCCTCATTGTGGACAGTGCGACGGCTCTCTACAGAACCGATTTCTTGGGCCGAGGTGAGCTCTCGTCGAGACAGACTCATCTGGCCAAGTTCATGCGCACGCTCCAGCGTCTCGCTGACGAGTTTGGCATTGCTGTTGTCATCACCAACCAAGTCGTCGCACAGGTTGACGGTGGACCGAGTGCCATGTTCAACCCAGACCCGAAGAAGCCAATTGGTGGTAACATCATTGCCCACGCAAGTACCACGAGAATCAGCTTGAGGAAGGGTCGAGGCGAGACTCGTGTCGCCAAGATCTACGACAGCCCCTGTTTGCCAGAGAGTGACTGTCTGTTTGCGATCAACGAGGATGGCATTGGCGACCCGAGCCCCAAGGACCTGGAGAAGGACTAGAAAAGGGATATTGGTGCGGGATGACTGGACGAGAGTAGCTGTGATGGTGTTATGCGCATATGAGTGAGCTTTGATACACCCCGGTTGGGAAAGATGGCATGCATTGGTGCTGGCGTTGGGCGGCAATCGTTACACTGGAGTTGTGGTATTTCTGCTAGAGCATTTGCTAGAAACGTAACGAATCAAGGTACCTTCGGAATGACATGAACCTGCCATGGATAGCCACCAATGTACTGTCTGCTTTCCTGTGACTTCCTTATTTTACCATATCCCAGCTGAACTCATGGTGCTGTACCGTGTGTAGTCCATCGTCCGCACCCAAAACACTGTACCAAGCTGGTTGCTGTTTTTGGATTAGCCCCACCGGGCGCGTTGGAGCCTTCAAACTGGAAATTCCATCAACTCAATCGCGACGAACTTTTTGCTGCCATAGATTGCTTTATGCGCCGAGCCCGACCCGCGACTCTCGCGGCCTCTTCCTCTTTCTTATTTACGGCGTTTGAGGTCTTTACAGGTTAGGGGCAAAACGAAAATGGATTCCGCAGACACCCAATACCTATACCGAGAGACTCGTCTCAATCTCGAACCGGCCTCCGCCTCGTCCATCGTCAACATCCGCGTCCCCTCGCTGACGTCGAACGGGAGGGGCGCGACCCGCAAGCTCACATCCGGCGACAAAAACATCAGCGAAGACGAAGTCAACTTTCGGCTCAAGAACCTCGCTCCCGCCTCGTCGGTCTACCACCGCAAATGGCACGATGCACCGCGCAGCTTCCTCTGGAGGCTGTTGGATGACGGCCTCGTCTTGAGCCTGCGAGTCGTCGACACCTGCCGACAAGAGAAGACGGTCGATGCGCCGCTGATCCTTAACTTCCGATTCACGGTCCCGATTCAATCGTCCTGTGTCGCTTTCGCCGACCCCCGAGAACATGATGCGCTGTCCATGTTCGTGCTCGACGAGGCAAACTGCCTATACTCCTTCACTCTCCGCCCCGACTTCTTCAGGAAGCGCTCCGCCATCGAGGCCGGCCCGGGAGATGCTTGCAAGGTGTACCAGCCAAAGGTCTTTGGCTTCAAGCACCCGCATCGCATGGTTGCCGCGAGCACCGACCAAATTGTTATTTCTCTGCACGACGGTGGATTGGTGAGGTTGGACCGGAATAAGACACAGGATTGTATGTCACCCCTCGACCGCTGCCGCAATCAAGCTCCATTACTAACCTGTGCATAGCGACGAGCAACCCCTGGAAGGAGACGATCTACAATTCACAAGGCTGGGCGCAGGGCATTCGCAGCTACCTCCCGTTCCAGCAGAACCAGTCTATCCGCTACCGCAACATCCACATGGACGCCAGCGCGGCGACGTCGATACAGGTCACAAACCTGGGCCTCGATGATGCGGCGTTCCTATTCACAGTCTGTCTCGACCACAGAATGCGCATCTGGAACCTGCGGACAGGCCAGATCTTGTTCACAGGCGACATACTGAACTCTGACCGCAACCCGCAAGAAGTCGGCAAGTGGCAGATTGAGCCTACACAGACAAATCTGTTACAGCTCGTCGGCGATGGAACAGGCAACCGGATGTGCGCCACGTATTCGCCCATTGGGGCCGGAGAGTTTAAGTTCTGGAACATCAAGGCCCGCGACAGCGACACCGTCTACGTGGAGGATGCGTTCCCTGATAATCACCTTACCCCGTCGTCACCATCGCTTTCAGATGTGTGGACCCTGGCGGATTTTGTACTTTCAAACCTGGCAGATGGTGGGATTCAGCTGTGGACACTGTGGAAGAACAACATGACCTACAGAGTCCAGGAGCTGGATCTCAACAGAGACAACATCGCCGAGTCATGGGAAAGCGAATGGGCGTCAGTTCACATCGACACGAGTTATCCTACCGCGCCGACGTCCGGATCCTCTGATCCTACAGACCCGACGGAAAAGTGGTTAGATCTTATCCTTGCCCCTGGCCGCTTCACCAAAGCAACCCTCGAGACAGCTCTTTCCATATACGAAAAGGGGCTTTACTCCCAAAAGGAGGGCAGCTCGAAGAGTCAACAAAAGGGCCTGGCAGAGTCGATCTGCTCTGTCCTTGCCTCAACAGCATCCTTGGACCGGAACTCGGCTGGTGGTATGGATTATGAGCAATTCCGTGCTAGCAGCGAGACCCAGTGGAGGAGATTTTACCGCCTTCTGATCGAACTGGACAAGCAACGTGGCGAGGCAGTTGCTTTGGTCCTCGACGCCGATTCCGACATGACGTGGGTTGTGTGTGCTGATGCGATCTCCGCCATCAGAGAATGCAGTTCACTGGAGCGGCTGTACTACAACCTCTCGCGACCAGATGAGGCTTCTGAGAGAATAGCAAACCTTGTGTCGACGGGAGTTGGCTTCCTCGACGCCATTTCCGACAGCATACAGCAGGTCTGCACTGCCGCCCTGCGACCTGAAATTTACGAGGAGACCCCTCGAACGGACTATGAACGACTCCAGTACCTCTTTGACACTACTGCTCTGTGGCGCACCGTTAGTGACGAAGACTGCGCACAGGTCATTGAGAGTCTAGGACAAGCTTATACCGGTGTTACGATGGATCTGTACGAAAGTCTGTCTGGCTTGATCGCGGCTACAGAAGACTCTGGCAGCCGCAAGGCCCGTCAGCCGCTGACCGACTTTGGAAGGAAGCTCATCGTCAAGGCTGTTCAGGAGACGATTGATCTGCAATGGAACATCATCTTCAGCCAGGTCTTGCTTCTGGTACATATGGAGTTCGATTGGGATCAAGAGGAAGACATGCTTTCGAAACGAATTGACGTTGGTGCCGTGTTTAGACAGTTCCTTGAGTCACTTCGTCGGTTAGAGTTGCTTCGATGGCTTTCCAAGACTGAAATCACTGTTCCTATTGGCAACAAGAACGACCGCAACGATTCCTTCTCAGGCTCGCCTAGCACCACAAAGAGGACTGCAGAGGAGACGCAGACGGTCACCGCGTTGGAGGGCAATGTTGGTCATCTTCTCGGCTTCGTTGACGGCAGAAACGAGCCTCTGGCTACGAGCATCACAGATATCGTTACGGATCTCTGTGCTTCCAACAGCGATATCGAGGTGTCACCTACTCTGATCCAGTGCTCCCTCATCAGAAGGGAGCGGGCCGATCTTGCTCTTGAACTCACCCCCTACTGCGCGCAAACGCCATTCGCCATCTACATCCAGGGCCGTGTATTCCTTGCCCTGAAAGACTTTGCTTCGGCCGCCTTCCACTTCCGTAAAGCGGCGATAGGCATGAGTAAGTTAACTTTGTTCTGTCTGTGAGGAAACCAAACTAACGTTAGTGATAGGTGTCAAAGATGTAGATGTCGATAGACACAGCAGCGGACTCCTCGACGATACCGAGTGGAACCTGCTCAACAAGGGGCCAGCCAGGTACCACTGCCACGCAGTAGCTCTGTTCGAGAAGGCCAAGGCATACTCCTATGTGATCGAATTCGCCGGACTGGCAATTCAGTACTCCCACGCCAGCCCGGAGGCTGCCCTGGTCAGAAGCGAGATGCTTAGCCGACAGTTCAACGCGGCGACGGTACTCTCACGCTTCGACGTCGCCCATGCCAGTCTACTGGCCATGAAGGATAAAGCGATGCAGCTCTCCTCCCTTCGCAAGCTTGTCGACAAGATGTGCGAATCTTACCACAACAGCGAACTCATGTCGCTGCCGTTCCCGGGTCTACAAGACTCGATTGACGACATTCTGGCACAACGGTGCAAGGCGACCATGGATGTCCTGAGCGGCATCCCATACCACCAGATCCTCTACTCCTGGAGGATCAAACACAACGACTATCGCGGCGCCGCCACGGTGCTGCTCGACCGCATCCAGAAGCTGCGGCACGCCGGCGAGGGCGACAAGCTCATTGGCGAAGACATTCTCGACACGGCGGTCACGAAGCAGTATCTGCTGCTCATCAACGCCCTCAGCTGCGTCGATCCGAAGCAGGCGTGGATATTTTCCGAGGAGTTGCCGCCTCCCAATGCGAGGGAGTCGACGACCTTCCAGGGTAAGCGCAAGGTCGTCACGTTGCCGGACCTGCGCAAGCAATACCAGGACGAACTCGACCGGATCGCCGCCATCCAGAACAATCAGTTCGGATTCGAGGCTGACGATGTAATGGACATTTTGTAAATGGATGAAACGAGCAAGAGACAAGATCAAAAGAAGAGAAAAAAAGGGGGCATTGCGGGCCTAGGGGGCGAGTTACAGTAGGGGGATGTGGTTACTTCGTAGGGGATGAAGAGCATGTGTACAAGTAATCAAGAACGCGATCCTGGACCACACAAGAATGATCCAGGACAACCAGATACCTCACGAATTGCATGGATTGGGTTTTGTTTTTCGGTAGTCGGTTAAGGTAGAAGATGAAGAAGAATTTCATTGTTTGTGTATCAGTGCAGCAGACCCCAGCTTTGTTTACCCCAAACGCCGTGACCTATGCTTAAAACTACGTGGGACGGTTCTTGACGAGGACTTTTTTTCCCTCATTTGGCAGCAGCCACATCATACATAATAACCTCCCCCCTTCCTTCCCCCCCTTTGTTCATCAACAACTCATTACTTGTAAACCATGGCGTCATTCTTCAGATACTTCTATGCCTGAACAGACTGGCCCATCAACTTTGGGTTCTCGGGGGCGGCGGCCATGATCATGTTAGGACCGGCGGCGGCATCGGGGGCTTGGCGGTAGAGGATGATTTCCGACTGCTTGAAATACCGCCGCGCATCTGGAGATCTGTTGTTAGCTTACTTTGATCCGACTAGAGAGATGACCATAGATGGGGGTTGGGTTGGGTTTGTGACTTGCCTTCGTCGATGAGCACGAGACTGAGGTAGTACCGGGTGGAGAACTTCTTGTTCACGTCCCGAAACGTGGGCGTCAGGTCGAAGCCGCCGAGGAAGAGGCGGATGGGGATCGTCTCTCCTCTCGAAGGCGAGCCGTCCATGATCTTGTGCCGAGAGTCAGTACGCGTGATATTTGGAACGGAGCATTACGGGGGGCAAACTCACCTCGAACCGCACCAGGGTCTCGCTCTCATTATACTGATTCGGCGCGGCGCCCGTCGTCTCCCTCCGGATGATGGACAGCTCCATGTGTTTTATCTTGAGCCGGACGAGCAGGAAGTATATGCGCCCGACGATGACGTCCTTTAGGTGGTATTTGGATTTGGAGTACTCGAACTCAATGTGGAGGCAGTCCTCGATGCCGACGTCCATCTTGATGGACGAGTTCATCTCGGGGGGTATGCGGTACGAGTAGACCCAAATGTCCTTTTCGCGGATGACGTCGGCCATGCGGCGGGAGACGGTGACGCGGACAAAGTAGCGCAGCTTGACATTGATGCCGTTGTACGACTCGTACTGCTTCTCGACGTTTTTGAAGTTGAAGTCGAACGTCTGCGGGTGCTGCAGCTCGCCCGGGGCCGCGAGCTCCTGGACGAGGGAGAGGAATTCGTAGTGGTTTCCGCGGTCAAAGAACATTTCTGCGCGAGGAACGTTGTCAGAATAGGAGGGAAGCGAGGAAGTGGGAGCTCTGGGAAATCACCTATCGTGCCGATGAATTGGACCTTGATGCCGGTGTGTTCTAGTCGCTTGCCGTCCTTGGGTCTGATGGTGACGGCGCCCTTGACGGACTCGCCGTCCATGTACAGTGGTGCCTTCTCGCGACGGTTCTTATCGAGCTTGACATCGACCATGGACCGCTCGTCGGCGTCCTCTAGCACAATGTCGATGTCGACGGGGGTTGAGAAGAAGTACGACATGTTGGCTTATGCGGGGGAATGCCCGGATCTCGCGCGACTGTGTCGTTTCGATGCTCGGATATAAAGGGGAAAGGGGATCCACGGTCCCAATGGCTAATGATCGGTCGCCCGTCGACGCTGGAAGTTGTAAGATTAAGTCGGATTGATATCGGGGCGTCGGAGAAGGGGGTGTCGCGGAGCTTCAAGGCTGACGTATCTGTATCTGTACGTGCACTCGCTCGGCTTGCGCTGCTCCAGTTGCGCCAGCCCAGCTATCGAGAGTGGGCAGCAATTGGAGCTGTAGGGAATGGATCCCCCCATTGGCTGACATTGGCACGTGACTGGACCAGGCAGTCATCTTCAGTGATTGCGGCTGGTGCATCCGGATCTGTGGCTGAAGCTCAGCGGCCGTGTTCCGGACGGTCCAGGTCTTTCCTACCCCACCAGCTCCGGGAAGCCGGGCGGCCGAACAGAAATCCAATTACGCACAGACCATGCCTTTTTTCCTCACGTGCACCCAAGCCCTCGCTAGAACTTTTGCACCCCACACCCGAAAATTGAATCGCGACTGCCAGACTCCCCGACTTTGGAACTTTTTTGCAAGTTGAAGAATTGTCCCTCATCGCCCAACGAACGACCAGTCGCCCAGTAGATCGCCCAGCCGACAGCCCTCCTCCCCCCCGACGTCAAGATGAGATACATCCACTCCCAAGAGAGCCTGACGGTTCCCGAGAATGGTATGTGAAGCAATGCCGTCGTCGTCGTCTTCTTGGCGATCGAGAGAGCACACAAAAACACCGAAAATCTCCTCCCCCACGATGCGGCCCCCTGCGAGCTCCGCCGGGTTTTGAACTTCACGATACTATATCACCTATCTGTCGCCATTCGCCCTTCGAGTCTCTCGCCCTTCCTCTGTCATGGTCGCAACCTCGGTGCCAATGGCAACATGGTTGCTGGCGCAAAAGTACAACACATACATCACAAATGGCAGAGGGATTGGGGAGGCTTGGAGGCGGACAAAGCAACATTTGGGTTTTTGGGTTGAAGAGTTTTAGACTGTGGATGAGCTCGAAAGGAGCAGTAGTGGCAGGCAATCGAATGCATGCTGACTTGGATTCTCCAAACAGTCAAGGTTCATATCAAGTCCCGCATCGTCACCGTTGAGGGCCCCCGTGGTAAGTACAAAACTCCCCTCTCCTTCCGGTCGCGATTTCGTCTCCAACGTATCGCGAACCACCTTCTCCCGCTGTCTGTAGTCTGCGCAAGCAGAGCGCAACGGCTGCGGTGAGGCATGGGCCCCTCATCAAGTCAATATGGCTAACACCTGTCACCAGGCAAGCTTGTGAAGGACCTGTCCCACTTGGCTGTCAACTTCTCCCAGCCGGTTAAGGGCACCATCAACATTGAGATCCACCACGGCTCAAGAAAGAACGTTGCCACCCTCCGCACCGTCCGCACCCTCATCAACAACCTGATCGTCGGTGTCACCAAGGGCTTCAAGTACAAGATGCGCTACGTCTACGCCCATTTCCCCATCAACGTCAACCTGGAGAAGGACTCCGAGACTGGTCTGTGGGAGGTCGAGATCCGGTATGTCGCATTCTCTCTGATACATGACAAAGACAACAAAGCTAACATGTTCACCCCAGCAACTTCATTGGCGAGAAGCTCGTCCGCAAGGTCATCATGCGCGAGGGCGTCGACGTCGAGGTCTCCAAGGCCCAGAAGGACGAGCTCGTCCTCTTCGGCAACTCCCTCGAGGCTGTCTCCCAGTCCGCTGCCGATATCCAGCAGATCTGCAAGGTCCGCAACAAGGATATCCGTAAGTTCTTGGACGGCATGTACGTATCCGAGAAGGGCAACGTTGAGGAGGAGTCTTAAATGCACTTTTCCCCACAATCAAACGTATAAATCCCTCTCGATGATATCAAACAAAAACGAAGGTATTGATTGATGTATGAGCCGGAGGAGGGGAGCAACACCAAACAAAAAGGGTCAAAACAGGTCAATGTTTTTCGAGGCTAAATGCAAAAGAATCAAAATGGGGTTTCTGGGTCTTACACACACAACTGGCGTGGCCGGGGTTCCATTTTTACTTTGCATCGTGTAGCGCAGGGCTACCATGAATCACATCAAAAGTCAAGAAGACATTGCCTGCTCTATCTCCGAGCGGCTTATCCCAACAACACCTTACTATATACCCTACGCATGAGAAATTCTTCATGGTGAAATGATACCCACTTCAGCTTGTAAAAACTTCCCTCCAATGTCTGCCATGTGAATGTCAATTCCTAGACAAAGCTGGAGGCAATTCAACTGCGACTTTCTACAATCTTTCTGCGTGTGTGTGTCGGGGAAAATGCAGTTATTTTAATCGCTAGCCGAAATTTTCAAGACCATTACACGCCATTCCTAAAGTCAGGATAGTAAATTTGATCACACCAATCATGATCCAAAGTAGACGATCAATCCCTCTCCCTCGCCCAGTGAAAATTTCAAACGTGGCGGGTACATCACCAATTTTTTCGCAACGATGATCTCTCAGTCTACATTACTCCACACATTACAACCATTCCTCTCTCTCATTTTTGAGCAATTAAATCAACGACCTGCAACGAACTTGGTTCACACAAGACTCGGTACAGGAACGTCCAAAAAGGCATCAAACATCTCCCAAATCCCCCAAAAAAGATTGACCAGCCTGGGGGTCGAACCCAGAATCTCCTGATACTTTGTCAACGTTTTCCTCGCCCTAGACGAACGAGGGTAAACGCAATCGTAGTCAGACGCCTTGCCATTGGGCCAACCGGCCACTAGTGAAAGTGGGAATGTGAAGGAAAAGAGAGCAGAATTCGGTCTGTGTTGGCACATGGCATGCTCCACGAGGAAAGAAAAAAAAATATCCTTCACAAGGGCCTCCTCCCCCCAGGTGGAAACCTCGCAACGCAACTCTTAGACTTGGAATCATAGAGACCCGCCACACACGCAGAGACAGACGCATCAGACGGCCCAAACTCGGAAACACAGAGCGTACATGGAAAACTCGGTTTGTTCCGTGCATGATCAAACGCTCACGCTGTGCGCAAGCGCCGCATGTTCATCTCAACTCATCGACTCTTACACGGTTTCCCCGAGAAAGCTTCAGCATTGTGGCTACAGTACACAAGTGAGCTTGAATCAACAACACAATATCAACAGCACGGCAGTGAACAAGTTTGTAGTAAGTACTTCGTAGGTTCGATCGAAAATTTAGTTTCCATTCCAATGCATTAAGGGCGTCGAGAAGTTTCGTCTATGCCATCAAATCGTTCTGAACATCGTACATGCTATGCAGGTTTGGGGGATGGGTAGACAAAGTGAGCCACGCCAAGGAAAGTGAAGTAGGAAACGCTCAAATGTCCAAAGAGATGATCCTCCTCCCGTTCCACATCTGGTGGTCATTTCCAAGCCTCCTCTCTTCGTCACACTCCACCCAGTTTTTATATCTCTCGTCAATCTTTCATTTCCCCCTTCGTCGCCGAATGTCTCGTCTCTCGTGCCTTGTAGTATCTCATCGCCGTGCTTTCAAAAGCTCGGCGGGATTATGATTTCCCCCTTTAACGCCAAAAGAAAAATAGAAAGCAATGATACCAATTTTATGTACGATCAAAGCATGTTCGGGGCTTCAGTCATCTTGTAAAGAAGGCGGCCGACAGCATATGCAATTCAACCGAGGTTGAGAAAGAACTTGGGGTGCTACCTCCGTGAGTGGCGCGTCGTGTGTGTGCCGCGTGTGTGGCCGGTGCGGTGAGTTCTTCCACCCGAGCTAGAGCTGCCTAGGTAGGACGTCAGATCCGATCGATCCCGAGAATCCCTTGACAACTCACTGGGACTTGTCCCCGTGTACGAGTAGTACGAGTCGGTGTAGCTTGACCTAGGCTTGGCCTTTGGCTTGTCCTTCTTCAGGTTCAGAAGCGCCAGCATGGTCGCTGCGGCGGCTCCCAGGCCCAACCACTTGGCACCTTCCTTCTTCTCTTCCTTGCGACGGGCAGCCGGGGCGGGACGGCCGCCGCCCGCGAACCAGCCGCCGTGAGAGGGGCGACCGGAGTGGGCCGAGGGCATGCGGCTACCGTGACGCGAGTATCTCTCCTCAACAACCTCAACTCGTTCGCGGCTGTGCTCCTTCTTCTTCTTGCCGCCAAAGATGAGACCCCACAGACCGCGGGCGATGCAGCAGAAGCAGAGCAGCATCAGAAGACCGAGACCTGCAAGCGTGCCGATGACAATACCAGCGATGGCGCCGCCGCTTAATCCTCCGCCAGTGCCCTCGTCGGTGATGGGAACGACTGTGCCAGTGCTGGTTGCCGAGGCAGCGGTGCCGGTGGCTCTGGTGCTCGTGATGCGGTAGGGAGCGGAGTACTGGGTGGTGATTGTCTGGCCTCCCGATGTGATTGTGGTGACACCTCCGCCCCAGCCATCGCGCTGAGCGCATTGCCCCGAGTAGGCACAGTACTGGTAGTTGGCGCAGCAAATGCTGCCACAGGCCGTCTCTCCATCACTCTGAGGGACACAGGTGGCCCCCGTGCCTCCTCCAGCTGCCGTTGTTGTCGCAGCAGGCCAGTTTGTCGAAATTGTGCTGGTAAAGGTATTCGTCTCAGTCCATGTCGTGGTGTAAATGCCGTAGCCTCCACCTCCGCTCACGGTGCTGCAGCCAGCGATGTTGTTCACGGTGTAACACTGCTCTCCAGATCCACAGCAGTACTGGGAGTCGGCTCCGCAACGCTGAACGCAATCGCGCTTCATAAACTGATCGCCAAGGTTGTAAAAGAGGTTGTTTGCGATATTTTGGAGAGGATAAGGGTGGGCGAACACCGGAGTGGGGGCGGACACCAAGAGAAGAAGGCCGGCGACCAGAGGGGCCGCCGCCGACTGCTTGCGCCGTGTCATTTTTCCTCTGGCTGGTCGGTGTCGTCAATTGCCAGGAATGCGCGAGGCCGGGAAGACGGCGATTTGAGAATGTAAGTCGGCTCTCTCCACAATTGCCGGTCTTGTCAGGTCAATGGGGATGTCGAGAGGTCTTGTCTTGGTTCGTAGCCTCGTGGGCGCCTCAAAGATTGTGAGAGTGAGGAATGTTGCAGCGGTAGAATGAGGTATTAATGGTTGGCGGGGGACGAGAAGAAGAGGGAGGGTAGGCTGGTGGTATGGTCGAGGTGTGATTGAGTGAGAGGTGTGAGCTGGCCGGCCTAGCCTGTTAGTGTGCAGACGTATCGGCAGGGACTGAGAGCTTGGAATGTGGTGTTTCTTGGATTAGATGGAAAGAAGGAACCAAGAAGTCGGGAAGAATGAAACCTGCAGGTAAGTCTGATTTAAGAGAGAGGGAGAAGTTGAGAAGGCGCTGACGGACGGGAGTGTCGTATTACTTGGTTTGGGCAGTGGGATTGTCTTTTTTTTTCTTGCCCGTCGCGCGGGTCGATTCCCAACCTCCTTGGAGTCCAACCTCTTGATTTTGCTGCCGCTGTCACCAGGCGCACCCACACCCACAACACCACCCTCAAATAATGCAAAGTTCCGCAGGGATCTAGCTTCACCGATTAGTTTCTGGCCAATCTCTGACGAGGGTGGTTCTGAAGATTCCTCTTGAGTGCGCGATTCCGTCACACTTGGTGGTTCTTTTTCTGTTCTTGTTCCTGAAGATCGGGCGCCGAGACGTGGTTCCCCCTTCACTTAGACCAAGACACCCGGAACTGACGAGGGTTATAAGTGGCCCAGTGCGGGGAGATGCCTGTATGAGTTGGCAGAAACGGGTCGCTACTCGCTACTTACGATGGTACGAAGACGTTCGTGACTGGCCCGGCCGAGAGCGCCTGGTTCCCACTTGTTTACCTGCAGGAGTCGGTCCGTCCACTGGACGACAATCGATAGGCAGAGAAAGCCTGTTCCAACAGCAGGGCACTCACGGCAGCAACAGGAGCGATTGTTTGCCCTGCCCGCCGTTTGTCACTCCCGCCGGGCCCCGTCAGGTCAGGTACCGTTTCGCAGGCTTGTTCTTGGCCGGTTGCCAGAAGCAGTCGATCCGGGCTTACTCTTACCAGTTGGTGCCTTGCAATCATTGGCAGGAACGCTCGTTAGCCTATCGTGAGCTGCTTCAATGAGATCATGCTCATTTCCGCGCTGTCACATTAGTCTCATCTACCTCGGGCCTAGTGAAGCGGCCATGACCTCTCGCGACAGAAGGTCCAAGGCAGAGGAAACGGTCTTTGACTCGTATAGGGCAGATTGGCAGCGCAATGACAGCTTTTGCGCTGGCTTCTGGAACCACGACGACATCTCGGCAGGTGTCAGTCCGTGGGTTCCGCAACTTTGACGGCATCAAGTGCAAGTGAGTCTGGCCGGCGGGATGGGACCCCGCGGCACCCAAGGGCCATCACCAAGTAGGCCGTGATGTCCAGGCTAGTGACGCCTTTTTAAGATTCAAGGGACCTCTTTCCGTATGTGCCTTGCATATTGGCGTGCGCCAGTCTTGCGAACAAGGGTCATGTATGTACTCCGTAAAGGGGAAAAGGAAAGTCAAGCGGTGTTCAGCTTCATCTGGCGAGCTGAGTATCAACGATAGCTGCACTTGGAGAAATAGGGTGGTTGGGAACCGGGGCAACTGGGCCGTAGTGCTATTTGGAGCAACAGAGTGTGTAAGAGGCAATGAGCCAAGCTTTGGGATGGATTCGAGTGGAGGTGGTAATTGGGGAATGTGCACCGCCGCAACGCTCGATCGATTGAGTTGATCTCATTGGCTGAACATAGCTTTGGTGGATCAAATGGAGCTGCCACTTGTGGCTGGTGTAGAACTGGACCTCAAGCCAATCAGATGCCATCAGCCTGACGCTGTGACTTGAGTAAGGAAGTGACCCAAAAACTGGGCGGGCGCGGCTGCGGGCCTGCGGCTGCGGCTTGAGAGCATTACGTTCGTCAGACAGCTTCCCGCCGCAACGACCTGCGACCCTCAGCACCTTCGATTCCATCCACGCCGTCCATCCCCAACCCTTCCCTCGGCGACACAGGTGAATCTTCAATCAAAGAAAGCCGCCCGGGTCGCTACTTCCCTCGACTCGCCGCCATGTCTCTCGATCCTCCCACCTATCTGGCCTCGCTGCAGAACAACATCCGCCAGCGGCCAATCCCCTGGGATGGCGCTGTTAGAGCAGGCACCATCACAGAGGACCACCTGGCCCGCATCCGCGCTGTCGATAAGGCGAAGAAACCCGAGGCTAGAAAGGATATTGTTGAAGGAGACCTAGATGGCTACCGCTCCCTCTTTGTTGGCGAATCTGGAAAGCCCTCGGTGCTCGAGTCCGCCGGCAAGCAAGCCAATGTCGTCCAGTATATCCTCGTCCTCTTGGCGGACCTCTTGCCCAGTATGTTCTATACCATCCCTCTAAATCGACAATTCATTACTTTGGCCAGAATCTCCCTATTCCGCCCTAGTTCCCCTGGAGATTGATCTTGATCTACCTCGACGATTCCTTCATATGCCTCAACCCCCGCTAATGCTGTCGTCTTTCCAAATAGGTGTACCGTCACTCTCAAAGGCTATTTTCAAAAACACCGACCCCTACAAGCACTTCCTACCTTTGCTCGCCCACTCGAACAACACCGAGGACCCTATCCCGCTGCTTACATCGACGGCCCTGACCAAGCTCATGTCGCTCTCGTTGAACGAATCGCAGGCGACCCGAAACGCCATCCCCGTGCTCCTCTCCTACCTCTCTGGCCTCGCGAAGAGTTCTGATGCAGGCCTTCAAGATATCGCGGTCCAGGAGTACTCCTCCATTCTCTTCGGACACGCCGCGAGACAACAATTCTGGAATCAAAGAAGCGAGACGATTGCGCCCCTGATTGATATCCTCAGAACGGCGGCTGGCATTGGTAGCAACGGCAGCTCTTCGGCAAGCATATGGAGTGGTACCGCACCCACAAGAAACGCCGGATTCGAGGGTTCGCTTGGCGGCGGTGTTGGCTTGCAACTGCTGTACCACGTGCTCCTGGTAATCTGGCAAATGAGCTTCGAAGCAGAAGATATTGGTGACGAGCTTAATGAGTAAGTACAACTCCAGTCGTATGGCTCCCACAAACTAATCATGTTTAGCGAGTACGATATTGTCCTACTGTACACCCAGCTTTTGCGCTTGTCTCCGAAGGAGAAGACGACCCGATTGGTTGTTTCTACCCTCTTCAACTTGCTCAGCAAGAACCAGAAGTCACTCCTCCCTACCGCAGTCCTTGCGCGACTACCTGCGCTCCTCGATAACCTGAGCGGCCGTCACCTGACAGACCCTGACCTGCTCGAGGATGCACAAAGTCTCAAGGAACTTCTTGAGGAGTATACCAAGACGAAGACGACTTTTGACGAATACGTTGCTGAGGTCGAGTCTGGTCACCTCCGATGGTCACCACCTCACAGAAGCCAGGTATTCTGGGCTGAGAATGCGCGCAAGATTTTGGAGCACGAGAACGGAGCAATTGCGCGCCAGCTCGCCGAGATCATGAAGAAGCCGTGGGAGAACGACAAGGCAGTCCTCGCTATTGCATGCAACGATGTTGGAGCCTTGGTTAAGGAGGTGCCTGAGATGAGATATAAGCTGGAGAAGCTTGGTCTGAAGACCAGAGTCATGGAGCTAATGGGAGAATCCGACGAGAATGTCCGTTGGGAGAGTTTGAAGGCATTGGGTGGCTGGTTGAAGTACAGCTTCGACAACTAAGTTTGTTTCGGGAGCACGAATAGTAGGGCTATTGGTCCAGGCTCTGTGTATGTATAAACGGGCGACAGCATTACCCAGGCAGTTTAGAGTGGACCAGGGGTCGTGCCCGCATATTCCATTGTTTTTTTTCGTTGGCATACGCTCTCGGCCGAAATCGCGACGTGTGTCTGTGGATATCTCGAGTTTGTGGATGGAACACGCCATACGGTGATGATCAGTCGAGCAGGACACTATGACGCGGAGCCAAGGCACAACACCATTGATGAGCATCGTGGGATGCTTCTTCGGTTCCGGGGAGGGCCACGGAGGCGTACGATGGTGCGGATACAGGTGACCGCAAATCCGCCGCGGCGGATAATCACCCGAGGCGGCGAGGCCCATCATGACATTCGGGCAACGTCAGGGGTCGGTCGGCCCCCATCTCTTGAATTTTCCAGCTAGCCAGCCCAATGGGAAGGGTAATGGGACGGGTGGAGCTATGCTTAGGAAGGGAGGTACCTAAAATAAGGGGTGCGTTATGTACTCCGGAGCTTATCATACGGGCGGTACGTGCCCGGCGGGGTTGACGTTTGGCGTGGGGTGGCGCGACTGCGACCCCTCAGTTATTAGTGATTCTAGATCCCAGAATATCCCACAATGTGGGAAGATCCCAACAGAAACTCCACCCGAAAGAGCTCTCGTGGTTCAGGGTCCATAGCTTACCACAGCTTCCGGTCGCATGTCCGATCGTGTACCCTCCAACCCTTTTCCAAACGCCGAAGAGCCGTTCAGTGCCCACGAACAAAACCAGACACACCCGCTCTTCGCATCCGCCGCCCACGCACACCTCCCTTTTTCCCTCTTCTCTAACCACCACAAAAGACACACACACGCGCACACAAACGAAACAGCTTTCTCTCCCTCTGTATTCGTTGCCTACTTGCAAAATGGCACCCAAGGCAATCATAGCTCCGTCGATTCTCGCGGCCGACTTTGGCCACTTTGGCCATGCGTGCTCCAAGACCATAGAGCAAGGCGCTGACTGGCTTCACGTCGATATTATGTACGGAGACCATACCCCGCCAGGGAAAAAAAAAAATCAGCACACAAGCATCTTGCGACCGCTTTTTTTGGAAAGCCGGTCGCAAAGGAATTGTTCACATATCCGAGCCGAGCCGTGGCTAACTTATATGGTTTTCTAGGGACGGCCACTTTGTACCCAACATTTCATGGGGACCCGGTGTTGTTGCCAAGATCAGAGGCCATGTCGAGAAGCCTATCGAGACATGGGGAAAGGGCACATTTGACTGTCATATGATGGTTTCCGAGGTAATTGCTTTCCCTTCACCCTGGGCTCATGTTTTTTGGCGCCGCCGAAAGTCCATTTGCGGTATCCCGGCATATCACAACAAGTCTACTAACGCATGCGTCGATTTAGCCCAAGAAATGGGTCAAGGGCATGAAGGATGCTGGCGCAGACCTGTACTGCTTCCACTACGAGGCCGCATTTTCCTCCGACTCCGACAACCCAGAGGTCCAATCCGATGAGAAGACGAACCCCCGCGCCCTGATCCGCTACATCCACGAGCAAGGCATATTAGCCGGAGTCGCTCTGAAGCCCGCAACCTCGGTCGACGTTGTGTGGGAGCTCCTCGAGAGTGAAGATCCACTCGAGAGACCAGACGTGAGTTACCCATTCCAGCCCTTATTTATTTTTTTACGAGCAGCTGTTACACACACCACCAAAACGGGGTCTCCGCGAAGGCGCATTAGGCTGACAGGGGTTCTCTCCACAACACAGATGGTCCTGATCATGACAGTCGAGCCCGGTTTCGGCGGACAGAAATTCATGGCCTCTGAGCTGCCCAAGGTCCAGGCCCTCCGCGAGCGGTACCCGGAGCTCAACATTGAGGTCGACGGCGGCCTGACCGGTGCCACCGTCGGCCAGGCTGCCGACGCGGGCGCCAATGTCATCGTTGCGGGCAGCGCTGTCTTTGGTGCCCAGGACCCCGCAGAGGTCATTAAGGTCCTCAGACAAGCCGTCGAGAAGAAGACCGGCAAGCTCTAGAGATTCGGTATCCGAGTCCCCACTGCACCAAACCTCCGACTTTTTTTTTTCCCTCTCACGGCCACGTTTTAACGACTTTTCCTTTTTTTGTTGGTTTTTTTTTTTTTTTTTTTTTGTTCTCTATAAAAAGCTATGGGAGCCATGATTTATGTTCAGCGTATATAGATATCAGACGGACAGCAACTTTCCGGTGGTATGCCGGAGTTACAGGTCTTTCTAATCCTAATTCTACCACATTATACACTACTATTTGGACTTTTGTTGCAGTGCCTTATCCAGGACCGCAATAAACCCCTTGATTTCGTCAACTGCAACTGATTAGCATTACTGACAGGTCTAGTAGGTGTACTTGACTTACGACTGTTGTAATGCACCATACTAACCCGAATTATGCCGTCGGCAGGATCGAGTTGCAGAATCTCCTTGATTAGCCGGTACGAGTAGAAGTGGCCCCATCGGAAAGCAAACTCGGACCCATTTTCCACGGCATTCACGAGCTCTTTGGTGCCCCATCCTTGCACCCTGAAGCTAATCGTCGGAACACGGCGGTGGGTACCGGCATCCGTCTCACCGTAAATCGTCACATCATCCCGGCCGTTGAGATACTCGAGCAGAGTAGCCTGAAGCTGCTCCTCCTGCTCGACCTTGCCCTTCCAACCCTCGGAGTCGGGCGTGCCGAGGTACTCCAGGACCCGCGGGACGGCCGAGACGAGCTCGTAGCTACCGCCCGCGAGCCCGAGCTTCCCCTCGAGGGACTCGCCCGGGTTGAAGAAGTGGCCTAGCGAGCGCATGTGGGCGTCCTGCGCGGCGCGGCTCGCGTAGAGCATGGCCGTGTGCGGGCCGTACACTTTGTACCACGAAAAGGCGTAAAAGTCGACGCCGAGGGCTTTGACGTCGACGGGGCGGTGCGGGGCGTAGGCTACGCCGTCGACGCAGACGAGGCCTTTGGGGTTGGACGAGTGCACGAGGGAGGCTACGGAGGCGACGTCGTGGATGGTGCCTAGGATGTTGCTTGCGTGCGTGAGGGTTACGAGGCGGGTCTTGTCGGAGAGTAACGGCTTCAGGTTCTCTGCGGTGAGTTTTGGGTTTGTGGCGGAGGCGGGCTTCCACCATTTGAGCTCGAGTTGTTGGCGGGCGGCGAGGTCGACCCAGGAGGCGATGTTGGCTTCGTGGTCGACTGCTGATATGACGATTTCGTCGCCTTTGGAGAAGGTGAGGGTGTGGGAGAGGTTGCGGAAGAGCTGGGTTGTCGAAGCTCCAAAGACTGGGGTACCCCTTAGGTTAGAAGGTTTTTTGTCAAAGAGAGAATGTGGAATGGTTGTCGTGTTACCGATTTCGTCAGGGGATGCGTTGATGTACTTTGCGCCGGCCTGGTAGCCTTCGCCGTAGGAGGCCGTCGCCTTCTGGCCGACTTTGTAAGAGGCGCCTAGCTGGACGTTGCTTTGTGTGAGATAGTCCCGGATGCTGAGTCGTTGTGTGAGTGATGTCTCGAAATAGGAGCTTGAGAGTGTTCGGTGACATACGACTCAATGACTGTGCCCAGCGTCTGACTTCCGCCTGCATTATCGAAGAAGACTTGGTCTTGGCTCAGGGCAGGGAACTTGCTTCTCACAGCAGCGATGTCTATCTGGGACGCCATATCGAATGCTTTCTGGCTGAAGATGTATAAGCTAAATGGGATTCTCGTAGGAAATAATCACATAAACACTCAAGAAAGCGAAAAGAAAATGAAGCTATCGTGATTGGAACGAGACCGAGTATTAAAGAGGTGAGATTACGATAGCAGCTGCGGGGCAGGGCGTAATGGACGTAAAGTGCTGGGTTCAGATGATTAGGGAACTGCCCAATCGAGAAGTGAAGCGGCTTAGGAAGCCCGCAATTTGGGAAAAGCCAATTGATCTACGGATAGTGTTCCGTGGATGCATGACGTTTTGCGGGCAAAGTGCTGGCTGGCGGGGGGAGGACAGACCGTCTGACCGATTGAGGGGCAAGCGAGCGAGCGGGCGGGCAGCACGAAGATGGAAATATGGGGCGCGGGGTTCGGCGGTTGGGCCCGGCTCGCCCGAAGCTTGCCCGCCCGCCGTGCCATCCTCCTTCCGGGTTTTGGGTGAGGGAACCTCCGATGCCAAGCGCCGTCGCACACTTTTTTTTATCTCCAATCCTTGATTATGGTTTCCTTTGACCAGAGGGAATGGTGCCTAATCTACCAATGATTGGGAGGGAATAGGGAGAAGTTGAGTTGAGGTGGCTGCCGCTTATTAGACTCCCACCCACCATTTAATGCGTTGCTTCTGATACAAGACGTCGCTCATGCAAGTCTCAAGCGCCAGGAGCAAATGGTGCATGTCTGATGTATCTGAACACCGGCATTGGCTGTCCCCTCATCAGGCTGGCGGTACTCAATGGGTGCGCAGGAGAGCGAAGCAACCGGCGCTTGCACCGTCATGCGGATGAGTTTCTGTACAATCCAATTATTTGGAGAGAGAGCCAACTCATTTGCCAGATTTGATCATTGGCCACGCCGGCACTGGACGGACGGCGGTGTACCAAGGAGCTCTCCCGACCGTTAAAGTGCCCCCGCCATCTGCTGAGCGTAAGACTCGTAGAGAGGCAGCTTTGCAAGCTTTGCAGGGGCCAACGGTGGGACGGGTGCTAAGCCCATGGGACGATTTGGCGCGAAAACAGCTGCTGAGAGAAAAACTTTATGTGGGACCTCAGCCCACGTTCGGTTCCGATCAGCGACAGACAGCCCAGCGCTGGGTCGTCACAAAATATTGAAATTCCGGGAGGCTGCCAACAACTTTTCCTCCCTAATTCTTCCTCCAAAGGGTTATCCCTACTCACTCAATCGCCCAAGATGAAGCGCAAGGCCAGTTCACGAATTGACGACAAGAGAGCGTCCAAGAAGAAGACCAAGACGAGTTAGCCATCCACCTATTCCCTACAACACGCTTCAACAACTATTTTGCCCCGATGTCGTCACTAACACCGAACCTTCTTCGCACCACGTGCAGCTCTCTCGGCCGACGTCGCAAAGTCGAGATTCCGCAAGGGTCTCTTTGACAAGAAAGTCCACGACGCCTACACGAAGCAGTACGCCGAATCGAGCCCCTACAAGCACTCCGTCATCAACGGCCTCGTCGACGACGCCCTCCTGCGCTCCGTCCGCGACGAGATTCGCGAAAACGTCTCCTTCACCCCCAAGGAAACCGACATTTACAAGATCCACCAGTCGGGCGATCTCGCCAACCTCGACGGCCTCGACGATGACGCCCTCGCCAAGCTCCCGAGCCTGCTGTCGCTCCGCGACGCAATCTACTCCGAGACCTTTCGCGACTACGTCTCCCACATCACCGGCTGCGGGCCCCTGAGCGGCCGCAAGACCGACATGGCCATCAACGTCTACACCCCCGGCTGCTACCTCTTGTGCCACGACGACGTCATTGGCAGCCGCAAGGTCAGCTACATCCTCTACCTCACCGACCCGGAAACGCCGTGGAAGCCCGAGTGGGGCGGCGCCCTGCGCCTGTTCCCCGTCCTCGAGCAACAAGGCAAGGACGGCGAGATTGCAAAGAGCCCCGCGCCGGATCACACCAAGGTCATCCCGCCCGCGTGGAACCAGCTCTCCTTCTTCGCCGTGCAGCCCGGCGAGTCCTTCCACGACGTCGAGGAGGTCTACCACGCCGAGACGAAAGCCCAGCTCGAGGCCGAGGGCGGTCGCGTCCGCATGGCCATCTCGGGCTGGTTCCACATCCCCCAGATTGGCGAGGACGGCTACGTCGAGGGCGCCGAGGAGAAGCAGGTCAAGAATTCGGGTCTCATGCAGCTCCAGGGCAACCCGGACCAGCACGACACCCCGCAGGCGCGGCCCGTGAAAGTGGATAAGCCCAAGGCCAGCCTCGAGGGCTTCGACGAGGCCGGGCTCGAGTTTTTGTTAAAGTACATTGCGCCGACGTACCTCACTCCGGACACGCTGGAGCAAATCTCGGAGCACTTTGAGGAGAACTCGAGCATCACCCTCTCCAACATCCTCTCCAAAAAGTTCTCCGCCAGATTGAAAGAGTATATCGAATCCCAAGAGACCTCCAAGCACGCCCTCCCAGACAACGACAGCGACGCCATCGAGAAGAAGTCGGCGTGGCGCGTCGCCCGACCCCCGCACAAGCACCGCTTCCTCTACCAGCAGCCCGCGGGCGCCGACGAGCTGCGCAGCGCGCACGAGGAGAACCCGCTCACGGAGCTGCTCGACCACTTGCTCCCCTCGCGGCAGTTCCGCGAGTGGCTGCAGGTCGCCACGGGCACCGTCGTCGAGAACCACGAGTTCCTCGCGCGCCGGTTCCGTCGCGGGCAGGATTATACCCTCGCGACGGGCCACGACGGGAAGCCACGTCTCGAGTTCAACCTTGGTATTACCCCGTCCAAGGGCTGGGGTGACGAGGAAGAGGAGGAAGAAGAGAAGCCCGAAGGAGAGGAAGTAGAAAAGCCTAACGGCAAAGCATCAAAGAAGCGCAACAAGGGAAAAGGCAAAGCCAAAGCCGAGCCCGCACCTCCCGCACCAGAAGAAGAGACGGAAGTCGGCGGACACGAAGTCTACATGGCAGGCGACGACGGCGAAGAGGACGAGGACGCGGCGATTTATAAGTCGTCGGGCGACGACGACAACATCCTCTTCTTCCAGGCCGCCGCGTGGAACAAGCTCACGCTCGTGCTGCGCGACAGCGGCACGCTGCGGTTTGTAAAGTACGTCGGGCGCGCTGCCAAGGGGGACCGGTGGGATGTCTCGGGCGCGTTGGATATTGAGGATGAGGATGAGGATGAGGAGGGTGCAAAGAATGGTGGTGGTGGTGACGATGGGGAGGAGGAGTCTGAGGAGGAGTGGAATGGGTTCTCTGATTCTCCTGCCGCGCAGAGCGATAGCGACTGAGAGAGGTGTATACACGTAATGTATATCTCGCCTGATGCTTTGGTTTTTTGGGGATTTAACACGGCTAGACATCAAAAGTTTATGAATTGCAAAAAAAAGATGATTGTCTCTATTCCGCCTCACGTATCAATTTTGACATGTTGCAATAAACTTAAGCGTAAACGTGAAAAAGGAACTGGTTTGTATAACAATTGTTCAGAAGCCCCTCTTAAACGGAAGGTAACTGGCATGATTTGATTTGCAAAATGCCATAGAGAAACATGACCCCCGAGTCTACTAGCGAATCGGAAATCCTAACAACTGAAAGAAACTAAAGAACCCATAAAGATTTCGCTACCCTTTGCCCATGCTCCCCCCACCCCCCCCAAAAAAAAACGCCTCTGTTTCTTGTAAATACATAGCTCCATGCCCGGGTTCCGAAAAGTCTAGCAAATGCTTATAATGCAGCTTGCAATGACAACAAAATATATCAGTGACCAGTAACAAACATCTCGCACGCTTTCTAGCTCTCATGCTTCGTCTCTCTCACCCTCTAAAACTTCTTCAGCTTCTTCTGGGGCACCGTCTTGATGAACGCATGCTTTAGGAAATGCAGCCACACTTTGTTGTGCTTCTTCTTCTTCTTCTTCTTCTTCTTCTTTCCTCCCTTCTTACCCTTCTTGCCTTTATTTCCCTTCTTCTTCTCTGTTTCTACGTCTTCGTCTTCATCTTCATCTTCGTCATCGTCTGCGTCGTCGTCCTCGTGTTCTTCGTCTTCAATCACCTCCTTGTGCTCATCTAACGACTCTTCTTCTTCGTCTTCGTCATCGTCCTCAAAGTCCTCAGTAAGGGCCTTGCCTTTGCCTTTTTTAGCATTCTCCTTGGCGATGCGGTTCGCCAGCTTGACGTAACTGCGGACGGTCAAGTCCGATAGCTTGTAAATCTTGTCGGTAAAGGTGCTGTACTCAACCTCGAACGCCAAGGGGCGTGGCTTGGGCTTCTTGGACTTGGGATCCTTGTCCTTGTGGATGCCGTCGCGCCACTTGTTCCCGGATGCGTCCTTGCTCTCGTGCGTCATGTCGTTGTTGAGGTAGGTCAGGTTCGCAAAATACTGGGTGTATCCAAGGAAGGTCAGGGGTTGAGGAGCGTATGCCGGGCCAGGGCCGGTGCCTGCGGGCGGCGGCTGCGGGATGACCAAGTTGGGGTCCTTGGGTTTTGTTGGTTTCTTTCCCTTTTTGCCCTTGTTGCCCTTCTTCTTATTCTTGGCTGCATCGATTTCGCGCTTCAATTCTTCGTGGACGGGGTCATCGTCTGATGGGAGCGATAGAGCAGGCACGGCGTCGGTGAACGAGTCGGCCCAAACCGCGGCATCCTCGAGGCCGGAAATGTTGTACTCCACGACGCGGAGTGTGGGGAAGTAGTTGGGGACGATACTGGGGCCGACAAGGGAGAGGTGGTATCGCTCTGCGTACTTGCCGCCCAAGTCCTTTCCTGGCTTCTTCTTTTTCTTCTTCTTGTCCTTCTTGCCCTTTGCGTCCGATTCCACAGTGTCTTCCTCAAGGGCTTTCACGTTGACGGCTGGCAACTTTGCCCAGCCTTCGCGCAACTCCGTGAGGTAGTCCTGTGCCGACTGAATTTCGAGGTCATCCTCAAAAGCTTCGCGGCCGACGTCATCGTCTACCGCAAACCCACCCAAGATATTGATATCGATTTCCTTTGTGTCGTGGACAATGAAATGATCAATGTTCATGTGACCATAAAGCGAACCAACGACAACATCCCGATACTGCTGCATCCACAGGTTGTACTTTTGCCAGCAGGTTTCATCCCAATTCTTCTTGCTGTCGGTCCGGGCCGGGGGCACGTGGCCCATGAGGATGGCCTTCATGCCGCGCTCGCGGAGGAACTCCAGCTGCACGCGAAGCCATTCCATTTGCTTAAAACCTGGCTCGGACGGTTGCTGACAGTCATCGACACCGGCGTTTCGGTCGAAAAAGTACAAGGTGTTGAGACTGAATACGGCGAGCTTCTTGGGAATGACCTCGGTGTAGAACCAACCGCCAAACTCGAAAGAGTGGCGCTGCTCCTCGGGGATAAAGCGCTTCCAGATCTCGGCATAGTATCCTAACCACTTGTTGGGCCCTGGCAGGAGGATGTTATGCGGTAGGATATCGTTATTTCCAAATGTTGGAATTACAGGTACTGCCATTTTCGTGGGGTCCTTTGGGTCACCAAACGTTTCCGCAAACTTGTCGGCGATCCATCGATTTGTGCCGAGCACCTGGCTCGGGCTACGAGGAATGCTCTCATCGCTGTCGTGGCGCGCAGAGTCGCCAGTCCATATGACGAAATCGATGTCATCTGCAATATTCGCGGCGATCCAGTCAAAGGTCGCGTTTACGAGGGAAGACGGCGTATCGCAGTCGGACGTTTCTGCGCCATAGTAGCCGGCGGGTCCATCGCCTGAATGGCACGCGACGCCTTCTTCGGTGGAGGAGTGGGTTTTGTAGAATTGATCGGGGTGGAAGTCTACGAGAGCACAACAGTCATTAGCTTTTGGCGTCGTCCCATGTCTGGCAGCAAGCAGAGAGCGGTTCGCCTCATGTTGCCTTGCCTGAGCGTCGTCGGGTAGCATCCAAACCTACCAGTAATGTGTAGAAACTTTCCACTTAGACGTCGAGACCCTTCCTGAGCGACTGTGTCTGCGACCTCAGAGCCAATGACGATTTGTTGCTGCCCGCTGGCGACAGGTGTCGCAATGACGCCATGCAGGAACAACTGCTGGAGCAGGGCGAGCTGCAGAGGCAGGGCGGCGCCCACTATTGCGGGTAAAGACCGCATTGCTGGGAGGAGCTGAAGAGGCGCGGTACCTGGTTCGATGTTTCTATGGTTCTGACGCACGCGGGCACGGCAAGCCGGTTGAAGGGGTGAATGTTGTTGTTTGAGAGAGAGAAAGAGACCGTCGCAACGGGGGGTGTTCGGAGAGACCAAGAGTGGGAGCGAGAAAGAAGACGGGGGGCCAATTCAAGGTTATTAAGTCATGATTTTCCCCTGGGCGAGCTTTGGCTGTCCCCGTAGAAAAATAAATGGAAGCGCGAGCGACAGTCTGGTTTTCTGGGCTTGGCCGTGGCCGTGACCTGGGCTTTTTTCAGGGCTCCAGGGCTGGGGCGAGGCGGTAAGCAGGGGACCGGGCAGCTGGAATTGCTGGAACACCACCTTTGGGAATGCTGCCAGACGTGAGCGGTAAGGTACAAATATGTGTGAGAGTGTGAGAGTGAGAGACGTTATCCGTACCCAAGGTATAATAATACCTTACACACAATGACACCTTCGGAGACAGAGAGAAGAAAGGGAGGGCGCAAGGGTCCACGTCACAGTTACAGCTCTTGGGAACAACCCAGCTGGTCTACCTTGCTCTGTAGGCGCCGAATGTAGACGGTAGGGAATCGCGGCTGGTCGGTGACCCTAAATAAATAACACCGGTTGAACTTGAGGGGTGATCCTCCCGCACGCCAACCGCTGGGCTTGCGTTAGAGTTGATGGGCGGGTTTTGCAAGTGGAAAGTGATGATGTCCGGTGGCGTCCAATGGTTGCATGTCCCTGCTGACTGACGGGCTGGGCAGGGGAAAGGAAGGGTCTGTGATGGTGGCACTGGCGAGAAAGGAAGCAGCATCAACATCAACAGGTGCTTCTTTCATTCTGAACCCGGGAGCAGCATGACTATTAATGTGTTTGTCCGCTCCTTCCGATGGCCATAACGTGGTATTGGCACCTCATGCCTTCACTGCCACGACTGCCTCACACGACGATGCAGCAAGGAACATGATTCCCCGCCTTCCCTTTCCTTCCCCCCTTCGTGTACGTACAACTTACACGCACGCAGGTCGCTGGAAACACCGCAAACAAGACCATCAAGGTCCATGACCTGGCCAGAGGTGAAACTCTCACTGGATGGCATATCCTCCGGAGTCCACCCCCATTTCGATTCTCCATAACAGATCTCCAGCACTAATCCACGGAGCACGATGGCCAGCCCACAAGGCTGAAAGCTTCAACCTTCAATCCGTAGCCAATCGAGCTGCAGCACTCCAACACGTGTGTTCGTTCCACGACACCCACTGCCCATCGAAACAACCCATGGGCTGAGACAACCACCCTCATCCCACGGTATTCCATCATTGTATCAGCGAGGTTGCCGCCTGGTAGCGCCGCACCACGAGCCAGTGCCGAATGCTGAGGCGTCTTGGGGCCTCTGACCGTCCCTCGTGGACCACCCTAGATATTCCATCCTCGGATCCTCCTCCCTTTTGGAGCGTGGGAGGTGACAGGTCGTCAGAACTGAGAGTGTGACCGTCAATATGCACAAAAGTCCGCAATGCCTCTTCCTGGGGTGGGCTAGTTGGCACGAGTCAATCCGGCACTTACTCCAACCCGTCGCTTGATCTGCCCGCTCCCCATCGTGGGGCCGCGTGATACCCCGATATACCACATACCCATGATTTCTCGAATTGTTCTACTACATCTCATCCGCCTGGAAGTGCCAAGACATCTCTTCACGCTGCATCTCGGAGCAAGTTGTTGCGACCTTTCTGCAGTTGTGATAGCAGACTCGGCCCGTGTCTGGTCCCCTGCTGACACTACCTTACTACGCTGACGTCATTTTCCAACGCAACCGTCAAACTCTCACTCTCACGTTTGCTGGTTGATCCCTTGCGCTCAGTTTAACATAGAGAGAAGCTGACGGAACATGATGTTTGAAATGCAAATGAAGGCTCACCGCATGCCATCACATGCGCTCGTGTTGTCGAGAGTTGCATAGTCATTCTAATGCGGTGTGTTCCCCTCAGATGGTCAGTTGACTGATTGTCAAATCCGATCCTTTTTAGGGGTCTTGTCAACCTAGCGGGCATGAGGAACTCGAGATCAAGCATGATTGGATCGTGGTTCTGCAGGTCAGTTTTGTAAGTACGTACTGCCGTGTCTCGCTCACGTGATCGTCCCAGTCCATAGCACCCGCTGCCGCCTGGCTTCCGATTTTCTAGGATACTCGGATCACGTGCTCGAAGAGTTCCGGAAGACAGTGAAAGAATCAGTGCGCAATGCCAATGCACGGTGTTTACGGGCATGCGTACCGCAGTTGATAAGAATCAAAACAGAGATCGAGATCGCGATCGCGAGCATCGATGAGAGCCGCAGACCGAGGACCCTGGCAGAGCGCTTGCTCGGTGAGGAAGGTCGTAAGTTGTAGAAACGCCTGGATGGGTCAGCTCGACAGTTGCATACTCTGGTAGCAGTTTGTAGTCGTCGACGGTCGCAAGAAATGCCACGATAGCATCATCCGGCCATATCCTTCTGGCCAACCACGAATAGTGTAAGAACGGCTGATTACACGGGATGGCCGAGGCAAAGCCGCTAAGTAGAGCAAAAGCGCCGCTGCGCCGGTCCTTGCGGACGATGGCCGTAGACTCTCTGGGGAACCTCAGGAAAGCCATCAGTTATGGTAAGGGCGGGGGGGGGGGGGCCGCTTTTGTAGTAATGCAGAGCAATCAGCATCGTGAGGATGTTAAGCGACGAGCTCGGGCGTGGGCTCGGGTGTTGGGGAGTATCGCCTATCATAACTCCTGCGACGACCGAGGGCGAATCCGGAACTGCGAGCTGGTCAGCTTGCGACCGAAGGCTTTCCGAGCCAGCTTGAGCTCCACTACCGCGGGCGGAAGCACCAGAATGAACAGGAGGTTTGTATCCGTAAATCCACAGAGGGGGAATCAATGGAGGCTGTCCCAGCCTCCCAGATTCTCCACCAGGAGAAGGGCCCCCCCACCAAAGGAGGAGACACCCCCGGCCGCAGGCCCCCGGTTTTGCAGGCTTGAGTGAAATAAAAATTACACCAAAACAACGTCTCCAGACCAGGAAATTTTGGTGATATTGTAATTGCCCCTGATGATTGGACGCCGTAATCAACGCAGACCCCAAACATCCGAGGTACCGCACGTTAGTGCAGGAGAAACCGGTACATGATAATAATCTGCCTGGACTAGGTATTTGCGATGGCTTATTCCGTCACGGCGACATGAGGACACCTTAACAGGAGCCGCCGCATGCCACAGGCTATAGCTGTCGTGGAGTCTGGACTCGTGACGCCCGGAATGATTTCGCAACGAACCGTTTCAATTCCCCATTGCGGGACTTTTCTTGTACCATGCCGGTAGCATAATTCTCTTGGATCGAGGTTGTGTCGCGGGGTCGGTGAAACAGTCTCCAAGATGCGTGGCTGGACCAGATGTTGACGATTTTGGCTCGACGCCTAGCCACAAGTACCTCAAGCCTTAATAAGGAGGTACCTTTAATCTGTAGCCATCCTGCGCGTTGCTGAACTGACAGGAACCGAGCCGGCTGGACGGGAGCTCCAGGTCTACAGCGAGGTAGCACTATCCAATCGCCCAATGACAGCCGTGTACAACAGTATCAGGTACCTCTCAGCGGCCAGAGTTTTCGCAACATGACTCTGGCTTCTGCAGCCCTGAACGAGATGCAGACTGTATTGCAAAAGTCTGAGACGAGGCCCTTGCGACTGAAATCTACGCCCTCGCGAGTCGCGACCTCAGATTTCTCCGCATGGAGCTGTCCTGGGCTCTCTGGGCTTGTCCTGGTCGTATGCGATGGACGTTGTCCAGCCGCGTGGGGAAGAAACGGAGAGCCTTGTCGTGGTCGCTCAAAGTCCGGATATCCATAGCTTGACGCAGGAAGAAGAAAAGGCCGGGCAGGCGGGTGGTGGCCGGCGTTGTCGGGTAAGGCAGCACGTATCCGTCGGTACCTCAAGAACAGAGTATGCGTGGTAGGGAACCTTGCTCCAGGTACAAATCTTCACATGTGGAGGCAACGTGAGGAGCGATGCGGTCGGGTCGTCGCAGACTCGCAGCCCAGTGCTGCAGCAGCGGTAGCCCCGGGGTCTGGAGTGAGCACACCCGTCTTCATGGGGATTAGCCTCGTCTCCGGGCGGAACCTGACATGAGACGGACAAAGTCCAGTCTGTTCTCTTCTGCTTCTTGATCGGCCGTCTTCGTGTGTGATGGATGAGCGGACGGGCGGGCGGTCGGACCAAGGTAAGGTAGTGTATAGGCGCGGACACATGCTGTCAATTGAATTGTGCATGATGCTCCCGTTCTCATAGCGAAAGTCCAAGTCAAGACGGATGAACGGGACTGTGACCACATTCCAGAGAGGCCAAGAATTGGGGTAACAAGTGTACCAACCAGCTCAGGGTGACGGCATGCAGCGCAAACAGATGTCGTGGGAATGTTTATCAGTGATGTTTTTGCACCTCGATTCCTTTCGCTGGGCGTCTAACTATTCGCTATGCGCCGTTGCCGTACGCCCTATCCGTCCGAGGCACTTGGTCCTGTTCATGTCATGCCCCGGCTCATTGGTTTCTCTGTAGATGCTTGTACCTATTTTGCCGTTGCCTTCGTCTCGATCCTGCAACAGGCCAACCATCGGTCGCCTGGTGAGGCAAATCAGTCGGTGGATGAACATTGATCAAGAATCAGTACGAATACACTTCACACCGTGAGATGGAGATGCGTATGAAATCTGTGCGCGATAGAGAGGGGCCGGCCGAAACAGCGATACAAATGCAAAGGTCGTGAGCGAGGGGGATGCAGAGGGAAAAAAAAGAAGAAAAAAAGACTCGAGAAATGGTACATGTGGCTTTGGACAGGGGGTTATTACCTCTGAGCACTGAGCAGTTGCGGTGCAAGGTCTCCGCAATGTAGCAGGCAAGAGCAGGGAAGACTGCGATACGGAGCAGGGGGAATGGGACAGAATGGGGGGTACATTCGGAAGGTACTTTCCTGAGGTCGTCGTTGTTCCCGTGAAAGTGAAGAAAAAGAGCCCCACTCCAGTCTCGTTGCTGCTCTTTGCTGCTGAGTGAAAAATAATCCAATCTCGCTGATTCGTCCGTTGGCCCGCCGTCGCCTTCGTCATAGCCGAGGAGCCCCACTCTGGTCGACCCTGTTCCTCAGCACCTTCTCCACAGTCCACACAGCAGCGTGGCAACCAGACGGCCTGCGCCCAATTTGAGCCGAGCACGCACCGTGGCACCGTGGCCACCCCCCCCAAAAGCTGCCGCGGAGAGTGCCCAGAGCGAGGTGAAAGAAGGCAAAAGTGAGTGTGATCCGGAAAGAAGGTGCGAGTTTTTTTTACTGCCACCCCCATCCGGAAAGACCTAGGCCTGGTTTGCTTTGCCGCCTTTCTTCTACTACTTCTCGTCCTCGTCGGAATTTCTCTCCACCTTCTTGTTTCCTTCCTCTTAATATTCTTTTCCTTCCCTCCATCCTCACAAATAAAGTCCCTTGAACAGGCAAGGGCACTTGAGATATCTGTTACGAGCTTCATTACAGCTCGGACAACTCTCCACTCCATCTCAATTGATCAGTCTAATCGCTGTTCGCAGTGTCAACACCAATCATGTTGGCTTCACGACAGCTCCTGGGCTCTGTTGCCCGGAGCCGTACTGCCGCCAGTGCCCGTCTGGGACTGCGTGGCATGGCTACCGTCTCCGACTCTCCTCTCGACCGCAAGGTACGATATTTCCCCCCTTTGACACCCGAAAACCATTGCCTACGGCATCAGCTGTTTTAGACAGCATGGCCGGATGCTTCTTTGGCATCGAGTACGTGTTTGCTCGACATGACAAGGGTGCTGACTCGCCTAAAACAGGTCAAGCAGAACATCCACGAGGAGGGCAACTTCATCAACTACAAGAAGATGTCCGAGAACCTGTCCATCGTTCGCCAGCGTCTCAACCGCCCCCTGGCTTACGCTGAGAAGATTCTCTACTCCCACTTGGACGACCCTCACGGACAAGAGATCGAGCGTGGTGTCTCATACCTGAAGCTCCGCCCCGATCGCGTTGCTTGCCAGGATGCCACCGCCCAGATGGCTATCCTGCAGTTCATGTCTGCTGGCATGCCCTCCGTCGCCAACCCCACCACTGTCCACTGCGATCACTTGATCGAGGCTCAGATTGGTGGCTCTAAGGATCTTGCCCGTGCCGTTGGCATCAACAAGGAGGTCTACGACTTCCTTGCCTCCGCTTGCGCCAAGTACAACATCGGTTTCTGGAAGCCCGGCTCTGGTATTATCCACCAGATTGTCCTCGAGAACTACGCTTTCCCCGGTGGTCTTCTTATCGGAACTGACTCTCACACTCCCAACGCTGGTGGTCTTGGTATGTGCGCTATCGGTGTCGGTGGTGCTGACGCCGTCGATGTCATGGCCAACCTCCCCTGGGAGCTGAAGGCCCCCAAGGTCATTGGTGTCAAGCTCACTGGTGCCCTGAACCCCTGGGTCACCCCCAAGGATATCATTCTCAAGGTTGCCGGTATCTTGACTGTCAAGGGTGGTACTGGTGCCATTGTTGAGTACCACGGCCCTGGTGTCGACACCCTCTCTGCCACCGGTATGGGAACCATCTGCAACATGGGTGCTGAGATTGGTGCCACCACCTCCCTCTTCCCCTTCAACGAGTCCATGCACAAGTACCTCACCGCTACCAAGCGTAAGGACATTGGTGACTTTGCGCAAACCTACGCCAAGGAGCTTCGCGAGGATGAGGGTGCCGAGTACGACCAGCTCATCGAGATCAACCTGTCCGAGCTCGAGCCCCACATCAACGGTCCCTTCACCCCCGATCTGGCCACCCCCATCTCCAAGTTCAGCGAGGCTGTCAAGGCCAACAACTGGCCCGAGGAGCTCAAGGTCGGTCTCATCGGATCCTGCACCAACTCCTCCTACGAGGACATGACCCGCGGTGCTGCCATTGCCCGCGACGCTCTCGAGCACGGTATCAAGTCCAAGGCCATCTTCACCATTACACCCGGTTCCGAGCAGATTCGCGCCACCATTGAGCGCGACGGTCAGCTCCAGACCTTCGAGGAGTACGGCGGTATTGTCCTTGCCAACGCCTGCGGTCCCTGCATTGGTCAGTGGGATCGTCAGGATGTCAAGAAGGGCACCCCCAACTCCATCATCTCTTCCTACAACCGTAACTTCACCGGACGTAACGACGGTAACCCTGCCACCCACTCCTTCGTCGCCTCTCCCGACATGGTCGTTGCCATGACCGTTGCCGGCAGCCTGCACTTCAACCCCCTCACCGATAAGCTCAAGGACAAGGACGGCAACGAGTTCATGCTCAAGCCTCCCTCCGGAGACTCTCTCCCCAGCCGCGGATACGACCCCGGCCAGAACACCTACCAGGCCCCTCCCGCCGACCGCAGCACCGTCAACGTCCAGGTCTCTCCTTCCTCCGACCGTCTTCAGATTCTGACCTCCTTCAACGCTTGGGATGGCAAGGACGTCAACGACATCCCCATCCTGATCAAGTGCAAGGGCAAGACCACCACTGATCACATCTCCATGGCCGGTCCCTGGTTGAAGTACCGTGGCCACTTGGACAACATCTCCAACAACATGTTGATTGGTGCCATCAACGAGGCCAACGGCGAGGCCAACAAGGTCCAAAACTTCACCACCGGCGAGTGGGACGCTGTCCCCGCCGTTGCCCGTGACTACAAGGCCAAGGGTATCAAGTGGGTTGTCATTGGTGACTGGAACTACGGCGAGGGTTCTTCCCGTGAGCACGCTGCTCTCGAGCCCCGTCACCTTGGTGGTCTTGCCATCATCACCCGCTCCTTCGCTCGTATCCACGAGACCAACCTGAAGAAGCAGGGTATGCTTCCCCTTACCTTCACCGACCCCGCCGACTACGACAAGATCAGACCCGAGGACAAGGTCGACATTCTCGCTACCGAGCTCGAGGTCGGCAAGCCCCTGACCATGGTCGTCCACCCCAAGGATGGCAAGGCCTTCGAGGTCAAACTGTCCCACACCTTCAACGCCCCCCAGATTGAGTGGTTCAAGAACGGTTCCGCTCTTAACACCATGGCCAAGTCCGCTGGCAAGTCATAAACGGACAATGTTACGTTAGCGATACGGGTCAGGGCGATATGTGGTTAGGTGGTGTAGGCGTACCTCTTTTTATTAGCATGTTCTGAGGTGTCGGTCGGTATAACTAGAGTGTATGGCCGCGTTATGCCCTTTGTTTTGGTCGGGCAAATACCTCTGGGACTATTGTTTTTTCTATGTTATGTAGGCCATGATTTCCTAGTATGTACAAATTTGAAACGTTCAAACAAAATTCCATCTTGAAGGCAGTGTGACAATGTGGGAGCGAGTTCAAAGGTGTTTAGCATCGTAAATTCACATGCAATCTTGATACCTATAACCAATGACTTGACGTACCACTCAAAGCACTCGAGAGACCCAGGACGAATTACCTAACTCACTGTGACGCTATAGCAGGCACGTGATGATAAGAGGTGGGTGCGTCGTACAACAGGGGTCATATCTAACATTTTTGAGATCGTCCGAAGAGGTCCGAGTGGACCGGGAGCATGCGACAGGTTGTCTACAATTTCCCAACTGCAGCAAAACACACCATCTACTTGGTGCCAACCCGAGCTGACTCAGATGCCTTGTACGGTCAACTGGACTGATTACTAGAACGACTTTCGACTTTGAACAAACTGATCGGTGCTTGCTGGACCGCCAATTGACCATCCGACCCTCGACCCTCGACCGACCCCTCTAGATCCCGTGAATCCCGGAGGCGGCGGGCGCGATGGCTTCCAACATAACGTCCTTCAGCACCCTTCGGGCTCGCTCTTACATATTCCGTCTACCGCTCTTCACGCGCATCGTTTTGCTGGTGATCATCGCCGCGTGGTTCGCCGGTCTTCAAAGTTCTTGGGATGTCAGGCATTGGGGCGCCCTGATTCCTGATCAGCTGTCCTTTACCTCTTGTACGCTCCCTTTCCTGCCATGCGGCTCTCTCTCTCTCTCTCCATGGGCGCGGGGTTTAACTGACTGTAATTTGGCCGCAGCATACCGAATGAACACGTTTCCCTTCGTTCACGTTAATCTCATCCACACGGTCATGAATCTGGCGGCTCTCTCGCCATTGATGGAGCGGTTCGAGGCGGAATTCGGCACCTTGACCTCGATAGCCCTTTTCATCGGCCGTAAGATATAACCCCCATGGTCTCCTCTACAAGGTGCAGGCGACTAATCTGTTGCAGCTCTGAGCACGATCCCGGCTATTCTCTACGTCTTGATCGAACGTTTCCTCTTCAAGGGCAACGTCGAAGTTATGGGAGCTAGGTAAGAAAGATACTGCTGACACTCGTGAGGTACAGGGGATAAACTAACGAGAAATCATGATTGTAGTGTCTGGGTCTTTTTGCTCCTGGGCATCGAGGCAATTCGAACCTACAAGACGAACCCCCACCTGACGATTGCGACATACTCGATTCCCACGTGGACAACTCCCCTCATCCTCATCTTGGTGGTTACGGCGCTCGTTCCCGGTACCAGCTTGCTCGGTCATCTCTGCGGCGTCTTGGTTGGATATCTCTGTAAGAGACACTTGCCCCTCCCCCTTTTCCCCCCGTCTTGCTAGAAGTCAGCACATGACTAACTCGAGATTTACTTTTTCTCAGTCGGCCTCGGCTACCTCAAGTTCCTGAGCCCACCCGAAAAGGCCCTCCGATGGATCGAGTCGAAGCTGAACCTCCTCGGCCGACTGCCGCACTATGTGAGCGTCGACCAAAAGACGTACGGGCGGTTCGGTGTCTTGCCTACCAACAGCCATGCTGGGGGCGGCAGTGCGCCGATTGCGCTTGTTGGTACGACGCAGAGACTTGGGCCATGAAGGGGACGCATTATGCGTGTATGTGTGGGTATCTGTGTCGAAGCTTGTAATACTACATGGCATACTGCCGGGTTAGGCTGCATTTGCACCTTGGTTGGAGTTCGGAGTTCATAGTGCAGGCAAAAAGTGGCATGTGTATAAGGTGGGGTAGATTCTTGCTTTGTATTACAAGTTCTCTCTGTTTATTCTCGTATGTCCCATAATTGCTGGCTTTTACCGTGGCATTGGCATACAAACGTGCTGTATGGCTTGGAGGAGAACGACAGCTAAATGCATTAGCGGTCTCGCGAGTATTTGTTACTCGGGGAACGTTTAATGTGGAAGTTGATATACTTGCGTACAAGTGCAAGCAGTATCTAAATCGATGCCCAAGTCAGCACAATGAAATGGTCCGGCTACCTTGGCAAACCGCCATCTGCCATGGAAACCAGGCCCTTTTCTCGCATAGAGAAGGCCTCCACAGGGAGGGTTCAAGCTGCAACGGTCAGGCAGGTATAGCCGGAAAGCAAAATATTGGATTGTCGAAAGCATAACGAAATTCGGCTCGTATGCCATTCATCCCACACTTTCTTTCCAACAGTCATGGAACTAAAGGTGAAGACGAAGGGCCCCCCACTTCATCCATTGCTCTTCGGGCTAGTCCAGATTCGCTCTAGCTCCATCCGTCAAACGCTAATAAGAATTTCTGCGCTCGTTCAATCTTTCCATTTTCTCTCTTTTTTCTTCACATTCAACGGAACACGATCCTGTCAACATAAGCTGCTAATTAATCTTCTCCATGTTTGCCGCATTCCAGGATATCGTTTCGAGAGTATACAGCCGCTCGTTTGAGGGTCGTCATCGCTTTGCGCTTCCGTGATGGCTTCCCATGAAGAAGTGGCTACATGCCTCCAACCAAACACTGAAACTTGCCGTCGCTTTTAAGTCTTGATATCAGATGCCAATCACATACCATTGATGGGTTTTGAGCAGACGAGGTCGTGCTTTGTCCCAGTCACTGTTCATTCGGTGTCGAGCAAGGAGGATCACACACACAAGGTAGATCAAAGGCCAAAGTTGAACGCTAAAAGTGCTGGATATCTTTTTTAAAAATCTTCTATCGATACACCCACCCTGCGAACACTACACAGGTGCGGGAGTCGGACCCTTGAAGTATTTGCTCGGAACCAACGGCATCTTGGACACCACGGCTCCCCTCTTCTTGCCTCTCACCACAACGTCCAACTCGGTGCCGGACTTGTGCAGACCCTCCTTGACGTATCCCATGGCAATGTTCTTGCCCAGCGTCGGGCTGGGCGAGCCGCTGGTGATGACGCCGACCTTTTCCCCGTCCTTTGTAAAGATCTCGGCGCCCTCGCGGGCCGGCGCGCCGGACACCACAAAGCCCACGCGGCGCCTCTCGATCCCGGCACCGCCTTTGCTCTTGGGCACGAGCTGCTTGTTAATCACCTCGGCGCCGTGGAAGCCGCCCTTTGTGCGGCGCTCCTTGGGGATGATCCACGACAGGCTGCCTTCTACGGGTGTCGTCGAGTCGTCAATGTCGTGGCCGTACAGGCACATGCCCGCCTCGAGGCGCAGGCTGTCACGCGGGCCGAGACCCGCGAGCTGCAGCCTCTCCGGGCCGGCGACTTGCAGCAAGGTCTCGGCGATGGGGCCGGCCTCGCCGTTGGTGGACTGGAAGGAGATTTCGAAGCCGTCCTCGCCCGTGTAGCCTCCGCGGCTGATCATGGCCTTTTCCGGCGTCGACTTCCACTGACCCCCAGGGCCGTCCTGGTACCGGAGGCGGGCGAAGCCCGTGTTGCCAAAGTAGAGGGTGCTCAGGTCCAGCCCGTCGGCGGGGTCGAGGACCTCTTGGAGGATCTCGGCGCTCTGGGGGCCCTGGAGGGCGACGAGGCCGTAGCCCTCGAGGACCTCCCACCAGAAGTCAGTACCTTCTGGGTTCTGGAGCGCGGCGGTGTGCTCGGTGAGGTAGGCAAAGATCTTTTCGCGCGTGCCGGCGTTGGAGACGACGGCGTATTCGTGCTCGCCGAGGCGGGTGATCATTGTGTCGTCGACGATGCCGCCCGTGCCCGGGTGCAGGAAGGTGCTGAGCTTGCTCGTGTTGTACTCCATGTCGGCGACGCTGGAGGGGGTGACCGTCTCGAGGAAGGCGGCGGCTTTGGGGCCGGTGAAGCGGTGCTGGACCATGTGGGAGACGTCAAAGAGGGAGGCGTGGGTGCGGGTGAAGTGGTGGGATTCGGCGAGGGATTGGCCGGCGTACTGGACGGGCATGTGGTGGCCGCCAAAGATGACCATTTTGCCGCCGTGGGCGACGTGGAAGTCGTAGAGGGGGGTCTTGTCCTGCTTGGAGAAGGCGGCGAGCTTTTCTTTCCAGTTGGCGCGGGAGGACGAGCTGTAGAAGCGGGTGTTGTGTAGCCGTGCTGGTGATGCTACTGCTCCCGCCGTTCTCGGGGCCGGGGCCGCGGTGGAGGAGCGGGAGCTTAGTCCGGCGACGGACGCGAGAGACCGGCCCTGGCGAGCGGGAGAGGCCAAGAGTGGCCTTGCCGTCCGGGCGGCTGCTACCAGTCTTGAGCGTGTCATTTTCAGTAGTCCAATTGAGCTGGTATATTGGTGAAAAGATTGAGAAAACTGAAGAAAGGACAAAAAGATTCAAGGTTTCAAGAGGAGGAGGGGAGGAGGAGGAGGAGGCCCAAGGTATGACGGAGAGCTTTCCCTTGTACCGATAAGGTATTCGGATGCGATAAGATGAGGCGGGTCCGAAGCTGGCCGAGTTCTCTGGTGTTTGATTGGTGAATTGGGCGGGATCGTCTCGGTCCAGGATCCGAGCGCTCGGTCTGCCACCCGCCGACCGGGCGGTCTCGCACTCTGAATGTTGAAATGTTGGTTGAGGGCGGTCGGGTCTGTTCGCCTTACGGCTTGTTCGACGGGCAGATAGCCGCGCGGTCTCTTATCTGCGTCTCGCATGCGGCACACAATCGTCTCATTACTCTAGTAGCTAATCTCCCCCGTTTGTAGAGTGAGGTTTATCTCGAAGAACAACTTCCGAGTCATTGGCACACGTGGGCTGAGTGCAGTCGATATTTCGGTGCTGGTTACCTCATTGAAGAGCTGTGATAGTTGCATTGCAAACATGCGACCTCAATCTGTTGGATTCGTGCTCGTCGAATGTCTCTCTGGCTGTCACACGGGTCTCGCCTTTTGAGAGTGAGTATCGCTCCACCGGATAATGTAGAACAAACGTCACTGGTTTCATTTCTCTTTTTATCGATTCAAGAAACCCTCTTCACTGGTTCCCTTCGTTCCATGCCAGTTCTGTCACTTGGACGCTGCTTGCCGGAGCAGAACTCGAAGGCTCGACTCGGAAAAAAGGGCTGAAGCGAGAGGCTACACAACCTAAGTACCTTTACCTAGGTAGTCGGGTCCTTCCATTTCACTAATACCAGGACCGTTTCCAAAGTCTGGTTGGAGATCAAAAGATAATTTCAAGGAGTGAGAAGCGGGCAGTAGTTGATGCGTGGCTCGAAAGCGTAACTAGACTTTTGGGCCAACAATTTGGACAGTCAATGATACCAAGGCCCACAGTCGGCTTGCTCAACTTGCTGTTTTGTCTGATAGCCGTTCTGTCGGAGTAGGCTATTGCCGCTCTGACGAAAGAGCTGAACATGCGGTATCAATAGCATACATGCTGGAGTCAATTAAAGTTCAGCTATCGACATCCATCGGCTTATAATGCAACCGAGTTGCAAAGTCAAATAAGACAACCACGACTGCCTACTTAGCCAAGGAGCTACCCTGGCACCCTGGGAGTTGCGGCGGTTGGGGTTGACTAAGAGATTTGTTAATTCCCATACTCGTGCAAAACCGACAAAACACAATACAGCTTTCCATTGTCAGTATCCCTGCAACATTGGTTTCTGAGACATCAAGCAAAGTGCGGCTGAGAAAGTCAAAACTCACCCAGCACTCCCGGTGTTGTATTCAAAGTTGGAAAGAGAGAACTGGCGCCTGGCTCAAAAAACTAGCAATCTACTCCTCTTGGCTGCCCGCTTAATTCTAGAGGAGCACCGAGGTGTAAGGATGTTACCCACGTGAAGCGCGGAGTCAAAAGCCACGAAAGCCCAGCACAAGGCGTGTTTCCAATCGCCCATGGCAAATCTCGATGACAAGAAAGCGGGTTTATGTCCATGGACCTCGAAAAGCCTATGCCATTCCCAGACACAAGGGATCGGCATTCGCCCTACAAATCGATGGGTCGCAGAGCTTGAGATTAGCATCAGTTATGGAGCGGGAAGCTATACCACTTATACTATAATAGCAGGTACCTCGAGCAAAGCTCCCCACAGCAGGTCGATTGAGGCAAAAGGAACCGTGGGAAACGTGAGAACCTCGGGCGCCCACCACCGTCTCATCACGCCAGGCTACAAGAACCTCGTGCTGCTTATTCGAGTGATGGTAGCGACAATGGCGTGAATAGCGACAACCTCAACTCGTGCTCGTGATCAGGCCGCAAGGGAAGAAGAAGGAAAGCAGCAGAGCGTATTCGTAAATCCGTACATGAGACGGAGAAGCCACAGGGCGGCGCCACGTCGAGCTTGCAAGGAGCACCGTGGCGGGCATTGTGTGGGTCACTCGCCACACCCAAAAGCCATCGGTCGACGGGCGGGCCACACAGTTGGTCTCGGGCGTGGGGTCGCGTCGAAGAGGGAGGGGAGGTTCGCGCGAGGTTCGATCGCAGGCACACAGCTCGATGGCCGTAGCCACACTTGGATGGAGAGGGAAGCATGGTTGGACCAGGGGGGTGGGGGGGGAGCCCGCGAAGCCACAAATCGGGAGCCGCCTCATGTTTCTCCAAGCCTCACTCTCTTCAACTCCCACTCCCAGTCTCCCACTTTAGACGGTCTTTTATGAGGAAAAAAGAGGCTAATACCTACCTACAGCACTGTGGCATCTGGCACCCTCGGCAAAGCGAAATCCCCACCCGCAAAAGCTCTTTTGCTGGGATGTGACCCTTGCTCGTGGTCCATTGCTTTCTGAAGTTCCGAGACTTGAGCTTTTTCTCGACGCGATCCAGGCCCTAGGTCAACTCCGTTTCTCTCGCGGCTTCCTTTCGTGACCCTTTGTTTGTATGTATGAGCTCACTTACTAGTAGGTATCCGTACCTTGGGTACTGGAAGTAGAGAGTCTATACTCCGTAGCCAAACGGGCTTGCCTTCCGCTGAGTGCCCGCGGGATCCTTGTGCTGGCAGGTGCTAAAGTCCTTTCTTTATTCTGAACCTGTCCATATTCATTCGTAAGAGACTATCAGTAGGGATGAGTCGAGCTTCGATGTTCAATAGAAGGGAAAGGTACTTACGGATACGTATCAAAGGTACTTGGCGTGCTAGGTACCTTAGCCTCTCTAGCCCCTGTGGCTCAGCCAATGGCCGCCCGCCAGCACCGTCCCGTCCGGTCGTCGCGTTCCCTCTTTGCCCGCTGGTCCCTTCCTCGCTCCGTCCGCTCCATATCAAATTTCACGTCGTGCTCGTTTCCCATTGCGGGTTGCTGTTGCTCTGCCTCTTGTCTCTGCCTCTGCATCGTGATCTTTTTTGGTTGACTCTGCCGGGGCCCGTCTTCTTCGCCTTTTTCCCCTCATTTGCTCCTCCTAGACTGCCACCCACACCGAGCACCGAGCCTGAGCCCTGAGGTCAAACCCATCCATCTTGCATCGCGACTTGCGGCTTGCCCGTCAATTCGGTCTAGCCCCATCCATCCCATTCCCAACCGACACGGATACGGTTGCCTCATGTCATCCTAATTTCCGTTCCATTCGCTCCCAAACGGACGGCTCGCATTGCCCTTCCGTCTTCTGTCGCCTGCCTGTCGCCTCTCCTCAGTCCCCATTGCATGTTGCTGTCCCTCTTTTTCGGACGAGGATCCACAAGCAGCTGCACTGCTGAGCGGCAGACCGAGGCCGTACGCAGTACGCAGTACGCAGTCCAGAACGGCTGACCACTACCGTATCGGGACACCCATCGCCTCACCACCGAGGGACCACCCCCAACCGAAATATACAACCCGACTGCCTCGTCCCCCCCAGCCACAATGTCCACCGAACCCTCCCCTCGTGCTGTTCGATTCTCCGACGGAGACGACGACTTGCGCTCAGACAAGATCATGCCCCAGCGACCAGTTGCCTTCCCCGTCGACTCGGACAATTCTGCTTCCTCCGGCGAATACCAACCCGACGACCCCCACGCACTCGAACGTCAAGATGAACTCTGTTCCCTCGCCAGGTATTCCGAAGGCCATATCGCTGGCTCCATGTCCAACCTCGTCCAAGCCGCCGTAGCCAACGGTACAACCCGTAGTCTACGAAGCAACGCCAGCGACGGCGACGCATCCTACACCAATGGCGCGAGCAAAGTTCAACGACCCAGCGCTCCCGCGAGGACACCTTCCAACACATATGCCCCGGCCGCCCACCGCAGGCCGCAACCTGCTCCTTCCTTCGTCGAGTCCGTCCGAGCATCATCGAGAGGTCGACCTCGTCCTAGCGAAAGGTTCCGCCAGCAAGAGAGGGCATACGTGCAGAGGTTAAGGCAAGATCACAACGATGGCTACCCATTCGATGGCGGATACGTAAACGGCATCACCGGTATTGGCCAAGGCGCCGACTCCGACTCAGAGGGAGAGACGCCCTCTTCAGAAGGGCCCTTTGACGACAGATACGACCAGGAGACCATCATGTTCTACGGCAACGACGATTTGCAACCTACAGACGAAGATTTAAAGGACCCGACAAATCGAGAACGACTAGAATGGCACGGCATGCTGGAAGCTGTTCTGACCGGAGACGTCGTCAAGCAAGAAAAGAAGCGGTTGATTGGATCCAACGAACAAGCAGTAGGGAAGAGCGGGCAAAAGGCAGAGCTGTGGCTTGGTATTCGCTCAAAAATCTGCGGAAGGCATCTTCCAGTGCAGAGACGAATGGTCGAGGAGGCTCGCGCGGCGCTGGACCGCACACTAGACGAGATTATCAACTTCTCCGTCAAGGGCGAGAGCGAAGCCGGAAAGCCACCATACGAACAGGTTAAGGATGTGGTCAAGAAGATTGATAAGGCCGAGAGCCTGTACCCTTCTTGGACCTCACTGGCAGCTGAACACCAGTCGGCAAACTCTCCACTCTTCCACGAGGCGTCTGAATCCATCATTGCCTGGTACAACACCAATGAGATGATTAACACAGAGCTTGCCATTCTCAAAAAGTGGGTTGGAAACGAAGAGCTAGATTTCACTCGCACACGACAACGTTCACCTGTAGGCAATGGCATCAGCGATGAATCCTCATTCCTCGACCGATTGATGAAGGAAGATGGCTTGAAGTCACTATATGACGAGGAATTCGACGAAAAGAACAAAGACGCACATAAAGGCATGCTGCCTGGCATTTCAACCGTCATCACCAAATCCAAGCAGACGCTCATTCGGAACTTCGCCGCCTTCCAGAAGCGACATCTCCCACCATACATCGAGGAGCTGCTTACGCTGATCAGCTTCCCGTCCCGGTTGATTGAAGAAATCATCAAGATGCGCCTCGCTTACGCCAAGAAAGTAAAGGAGTCTGCGCAGCAAAACCCGATGATGCAGGATCAAATGATCAACCAGTTCCAGTTACTTCTCAAGCTGGCAATCCGCATCAAGCTGGAGTGCTTGGCTGTCACACAACCAGAGCCCGGTTGGGAACTTCCGCCCTGCATTGACGAGTCTTTCGATCAAGTAGTGCTGGATGCCCTGAGGTACTACTTCAAGATGCTCAACTGGAAGCTCAGCGGCAACAAAAACACCTTCAAGGAGGCTGAGTTGCTGTTTGCCGAGTGGGACTTTGCCAATGAAATTGGTAGCCACCTTCTCGGTGGCGACGTTGAGGTCGCTGAGCAGTTCAGTTCCCTGACCTTTAAGGCTATCAATCGTCTGAGTGTCACATTCGAGAAGGAGCTCCAAGTCAAACCTAAGGAGAGCACCGCCGAGATGAGCAAGAGATACAAGCAGTGCCTGGACTCGGTCCGAGTTAGACAACGAATGCTGCAGCGTTTCTCTCGCATGCTGAGCGAAAACTACGAAAACGCGTCCGATTTCAGCATATCCTTCACACCAGAAAAGCTGCAAGAGTTTTATGACAGATTAATCGCATCCGGCCACTTCCAGATCTTTACGGATCTCTACGAGCAGGAAGGCATTTTCATCATAGCTTCGCCCTCATTGATGGATAGGCACGACGCGATCCATTCCATTTTGGGTCTGAGCTCGCCGGAACAGTTTGCGGAGGATCCAAGTGATCCGTATCTGTTGATCCTTCGGCCTGAGAGCAGTCCGCACTGGTTCGGCGACATTGTGCAGCTTTCAGTCCGGGAACGAAACGTCGATCTGAAAAAGGGCCACATGAGACTGGTCGCAGCCGCTGCTCAAGCGCGACTCGTCAATGCCAGAAAAGCCTTCATCGATGCCGTCGACATGCATGTGGACCTGGTGGTGGAACAGAGATCGAATTTGCACAAGGTCAACACACGTCTAATGGAGACTAGACGTGTCGCCTACAAATTGTCCAACAACTTCATGGACAGTGTCGAGATTATTCGGAAGCAGACCGAAGGCAGAGAAGTTCAAGAGCTCATTCAAACTTGCTTTGTCTTTGCGACAGAATTCGGTCAACGCTCGCTCCTTGTCATGGACAGCAACCGAAAGCAAATGAACAACCTCAAGCTGACGAAACTCGCATTGGATTGGGTGAGCTTCATCTGTGACGACTGCATCGCATCAGATCGAAAGACGTTCCGATGGGCGGTCTTGGCTCTGGAGTTTGCCATGGGGATGACCAGAGGCAGACACATCTTGGCTTTAGGCGAAGAAGAATACGCGAGGCTCCGAGCAAAGGTGGCTGGCTGCATGGCGCTTCTCATCTCACACTTTGACATTATGGGGGCGAGATCCAACCTGGCCGCCCAAGCAGAGAAGGAGCGCATCGAGGCCTTGGTAGGACAGTTCAAGCGCTTGGATAAAAATCGCATGCTCGACGACCATGAGGCTTCCAAGTACATCACGGAGCAGCGTCTGGAGGAGATTGACAAGGTCGACGACATCAGGAGGGCCAAGGAGGCCGAGAGACAGGCTCTCGGTCGCGTACTAGAGGGTAATAACGAGGTCGACCGATCCCTAGCCTACCTCTCATCCTCGGCTACCAACATCACGATGCGCTGGCAACAGGGTCATTTCGTCGGCGGCGGTACCTTTGGCAACGTTTATGCCGCTATGAACCTGGACTCGGGTCACTTAATGGCTGTTAAGGAGATTCGTTTGCAGGATCCAAAGCTGATCCCCACCATTGCCGAGCAGATCAAGGACGAAATGGGGGTCTTGGAGGTGCTCGATCACCCCAACGTCGTCTCGTACTACGGTATCGAAGTTCATCGCGACAGGGTCTACATTTTTATGGAATTCTGCCAGGGTGGATCTCTTGCCAACTTGCTGGAGCACGGGCGCATCGAGGACGAGCAGGTTATCATGGTTTACGCATTGCAGCTGCTCGAAGGTCTCGCTTACCTTCATGAGAGTGGCATTGCCCACCGCGATATTAAGCCAGAGAGTAAGTACCATCCAGCCGAGATTTGAGTCCACTCTTGACAAATGTTCTAACAATCTGCAGACATCCTCCTCGACCACAACGGTATCATCAAGTATGTCGACTTTGGAGCTGCCAAGGTCATTGCTAGGCAAGGAAAGACGCTTGTCCAAGACCTGTCTTCTTCCAAGCCTAACAAGTCTATGACGGGAACACCCATGTACATGTCGCCTGAGGTGATCAAGGGTGAAAATCCTGGCAGAGCCGGCTCAGTCGACATCTGGTCGCTGGGTTGCGTCATTCTTGAGATGGCCACTGGTCGCCGTCCTTGGGCCAACTTGGACAACGAGTGGGCCATCATGTACAACATTGCCCAAGGCAACCCGCCTCAGATGCCGTCAGTCGACCAGCTTAGCCCGCAGGGTCTCGACTTCTTGAAGAGGTGTTTCACCAGAGACCCCAAGCACCGCGCATCCGCCGTCGAACTCCTGCAACACGACTGGATCATGACCATCCGCAGCCAGGTCGTAGAGCCGCCTACGCCTAGTGACGCTAGTAGCTCTGCTCAGTCAACGCCCAGCAGTAGGAGCAACACCAACGACGGTTTTTACTAGGGGCAGAAATCGCCGCATGGTGTTGATCACTTCAACTCCATAGACGCACATCTTCAGGAGCCGCAACAGGCACCACCACTGTCACAAAGCAGTGTCAATGTGCCAAAAGTTCTAGTCACGCGAACAGAGGACTAGGCATGATATAGCAGAGCTGCATCGACACAGTACTTTTATTTTTCTACAAACGATACACGACCAAATTTTCTCTCTTTTTCCATACACACCGGGAAACCCCCAGAAATTGCATCAGCAAAGCGTTCGGAGTCATTTCCTCGAGGGTTCATGTGCTTTTTCTGGTTACACGGGTTTTCACAGGTATTCAATTGCTTGCTGGCTGGTTGGGGAAAGGGAACCAACGGGGGTTACCCTCTTACATGACATACACGAACCTGAACGGGACACAAATGGGAAGTTGAACACGAGTATGGCTAGGAGAGCTATCGCAAAACATGTAATACAAATAATACCCAAAGGCTATTTTACCCAGCCGTCTATATGCCATGAAGCGTTCTTTGTGTGCCTCGAGCGTCTATCCGCGCTAGACCACCACAGCCTCGGTGATGGAAAACTCATCCTTTTCCGAGTCCAACACCGCCAACGCGTCCATCGGCAGCGTCACGATGGGCGCGGTGTGTCCAATATCAACATTCGTCAAGATTGGGAAAGTGGTGCTCGCCCCCAAGCGGCCCTTACACAAGAGCCCCTGTATCACGGCCGCGTACTCGGCCCTCTCCCGCTCCGTGTTGTACCCGTAGGCTCGGCCGACGACGAGCCCGGCAATCTCGTCGAATACCCCGCGCGCCGCCAGGTCCGCGAAAGCGGATCGGATCCTGCCGAGAGGGTTTCCTTTGGTCATGTCCGCCTCGGCTGTCGCAGACTCGAGGAACATGATTTTGCCCTTCCAGGAGGGGGGGGATATGGGAGCGATGCCTTGGATGCGGGCTACGACTGTTAGGCAGCCGCCGAAGAGGCGGCCTTCTGTGCGGGGGGCTCGTCGGAGCCAGGTCCAGGGTGGGGAGCGGAGGAGGGTTCGGGGCGTGGTTGAGGTGCGGGTTTGGGGGGAGAGGAAGTAGGGTGGTACCATGGGGGCGTAGAAGGATGAGCGGGGGATGGGTGTTGTTGTTGTTGTTGTGGTTGTTGTGGTTGGAGTGCTTAGGGTCCGGAGGAGGTGAGCTAGGTGGAAGTCTTGGAGGTATCCGTCGTCTTCTGGCTTATTCTGCTCCGTGTGGTCGCGGGAGAAGTCGAACGAGGAGACTGAGGCGGATGTGGCGGTGACGGCCTCGCCTAGTTCCGGGACGGCGCAGGGCCCGTAAAAGGTGCGGAGGCCGGTGAGGGCGCGGAGGGACCAGTGGAGGACCGTGATGTCGGAGTAGCCCACAAATATCTTGGGGTTCTCTCTGATGAGCTGCTGGAGGGACGAGTCTGCCGCGAGGTGGGGGATGAGTTCTGTTGCCGTGGAGCCGCCGACGGTGCAGAGGATCATGTCGATTGTGGGGTCGGCGAAGGCGGCGCGGAGCTCGGCGAGGCGGTTGCGGATGCTGGCGGGGATGTGGGCGCCGGAGGAGAGGACGGGGTCGAGGTCTTCGTCTGTAGGGGAGAAGATTGTTGTGATTGTGTAGCCTAGGGATATGAGGAGGGTTTGGGCGCGGGCGAGGGATGTTGGGATGAGGGTGTTTACGCGGAAGGAGGGGGATATGAGGGCTATTTTCGCGTTGGGGGGAAGGGATTTTGGGATTAGAGGGGGTGGGAAGGACATTTTTGGGTGGTTTGTTGTTTTTTTGGGAGTTTGGTTTGGGTTCTGGTGGTGATGAGGTTGGTGTAAGTGAAGTTGAGTGTTGGGTGGTGTTAGGTGTAGTCGGGCCAGAAGCCAACGGTGGGTGCTGGATTTTATACAGTCTCGGTAATAAGGCAGTCTAGGTTCGTTTGGATCAGACGTACGCGATCATAACGTAAACCAGCACAATTGAATCCGGACTTTGATGGTGATTTACAATCTCAAAGGCCAAAAGATGCGGTCAACGTTGCGATATTCGGTATGACTCCTTGAAGCACACGCGTTAGATTACGAGGAATTCAGTTGAGGTGTAGCACGCACCTATCACGCAATAAAGCGCTGGCTCCTGAAAGAGAGGTGGGAAAGCAGGGGTGAAGTGGAGAGGAGACATAAAGTAGTCGTCCGAACTCACGTCAGCACATGCCCCGGCCCCGAGAGGGGAAGGTGGTTACGGATTTAAACCCCACCTCGGCCCGGGTTGTGTTGCCGGTCGGCCGATGGCTCCGGAAGTGGGGTCTTTCGGCCGGCATGTGTAAGGTACCTGAGTGAATGTAAGACCCGAAGTTCTCTTCCGAACCTAAAGTTTCTGTTGAATTCTTGCCTATTGTGGGATTTTGTTTTGTTGTGAGGTTTCTGAAGTATCTAAGTTTTCTGTCTGTCTCCACGTTTGGGTCATCGCAGTGGCACCAGCCATGAGGGTCTACGGAGAGCATTGCGGCCCATGGGCAAGACTCTTGGTTGTTTCCATCACGGTGAAAACATCGATCCAGTCTACTCAAGCATAGACATAATGACTCGTAGAGTCCTCGCCCCAGGAGGCCTCGCCTGCGATTGTCCCCAAGGTGGTTGGACATGACGTTGAAGCTTCAAGGTCATTGACCCTTTCAACCCCATCAGCCATCGCACACGGATACAACAACTCTAAGAGTCATGTTGTACACTCTCATGAGGAAGTTTCGTAGTCACTCGGTGTACAAGATGAAGCAACTGTTGTGAGAAGTAGCTAGCCGTTGTTGGCCACTTATACAAGGCTCGCGTCTCTTAAACTCAATTGCAGATGGCCACACCCATTGAAGGAAACATCAGGTACCCTTTGTGATAAGAGGCTTGACTTACATAATCAATCAATCTGTCAGTGAGGACTTCGTAGCTCCACAAGAGAGAATGAAGACGATTCCAGCCTTAATGTCACAATGGTGTTGCTTCTAGGATCCTATCAACATTAAGCTCAGTGCTCATGAACTCTACACGTCTCCCCAGCAAACGGCCGTTGACGTCTCTAAGCTTCAGCTACAAAAGTTAGAAATCGTCAGTTGCAAGCTTGCGATGCCCGTATTTCTGCCTTCCGAGCCAAGTCCTGGCAACGCGCACGGCCCCGAAAACAAAAGCAACAGCAACAGCACTGCCACAGAGAACAGCCCATTTTGACGGCCAACTCCAGAGGTTACCCAGACTCCTCCCAGGTCCGCACATTCCTGTGAACATAATCTCCTCGTACAGGGGACATTCCTCGTTGACCACGAGAGACTCGCCCGGGTAGGGAAACTTCACGCAGCTGCCCTTATTCTGGGTCCAGCAGCCGTTGCTGTTATTCGCCTCGAACACGAGGGGCGCTTGGTCAAATTTTGCCGCCCGCTCCTCTTCGGGGACATCTGCGTTCGTCTCCTGCCCCAGAACCACTATGGGAGCGCAGTTCATAAACATTTCGGGAACACTCCAGCGACCGTACCAGGTCCATGCCATGACGGCCGGTCCCACGGGCAACCAGTCCGGGACGGTGAAGTTGTAGAGGCTGGGTAGCACGACCGTTGGTGAGTCTCCGTAGTTGATCTCGGTGAGATTCCGGATCGGACAGCCGCCCTCGATGGAGTGGATAACTCTCCATTGGCTCTTCCTTGTAGGCTTGAGGTCCCGTGTCACCGAGATTTGGCACGAGCCGCCGCCGTGGGAAGCGCCTCCCATGGCCCTGTGTAAGTCGTTAACACGCTTACTCCAGAAGCAGCCTGTCCAAATGGTTGACTTACTGCAAGTATTGCTTTGAGCCTCTTTCCCAGATGTTGGCTACGCCGGACCAATCGTAGTCCACTTCGCCCTTGCATGGCCAGTCTGAGCCATCGTTGGCAACTGGGCCATTGTCCCGGAGTTGACTTGGAAAAGGAATGGGATTCTGCATAAGCGTGTGGCTATCCACTCCAACCGAAAGAAGAAGCAGACATGCCATCAGGCTTGTTGTAATGGATTGGGCCATTTTGTGTAGGGGTTTGTCCAACAAATTACTTGGGCTAGAGAGAGAAGAAAACTGCTTGTCTCGATCAAGTCAAGACCTCCATGCTGGCCATGACTACATAAGGTAAAGAACGGACAAGCAGACACCAGAGTCCGGAACGTACGCTCTATCCAGATAAAACTCTTGGCTCGCGCCGTAGAAAAGTCCGTTGCCATCGTTTCAAGAACGCGGTTCTAGATCACCTCAGCGTAGCATTACGCAGCGTCCCGCTCACACCGCCGTCGACGGCGGCAAAAGCAGATGGCGGTGAAATGATCCAACGATTCATGTTGTCGCATCTAAGGGTCCATCCAGTTCGTGACAGCATCCCTGACCACCTTAAACATTGGAAAGCCAAAACCTTATTCTTGTGATGTCAGAATGCATGCCGGGTCATGTTTCCACTATTTGTCGATCAAGGGTGGCAACCGATACTGAGGGGATATCAGAGGGGTCCAGATTCACGGGGTCCCCGCTTCGGAAGACTTCCTAAAGTGGACGACGTTTTCCGCAGTGTAGAGACACGAAATGGCAAGACTTTGAAAGCTGCTGTTGAAAGTGTCAAATATCGCGAGGTTGAAGTCTGTCTTCTGCGCTGCGCAAGGCAACTCACACAGCGAGGATGACGGCCTCGTGTTTTCGGACGACCATCGGCCGCCTGGTTGCGTTGGGCACGATTCTTACGATTGTGACTTTTCAGTATATTGCAGTAAAGTCGAAGTCTCAACTGAGCTTCTACGAACTTATCCTACAACTCAGTTCTTGCATCCTACTTTGTAACTTCTTAGTCGTCGTTGCGCGCTGGGCAGTTTATGAACCCATCCAGGGGCTCAAGGACAATGACAGCCTACCATATATCAACGTCATCATTCCCGCATACAACGAGTCTGAGTTCGTGAGAAACTCGATATCCTCCGTGTTATCCTCAGACTATCCCAGAGACAAGGTTCACATCATTGTCGTTGATGACGGCTCAACCGATGACACCTGGTCTCACATACAACACGAACTTCCTCCAAAATATTCAGCTCAACATACAACAATCCGGCACAAGATCAACCGTGGAGAACGCCAAGTTATGGTCACAGCCCACGAAGTGGCCAAGAGCGAGATACTCGTGACTCTGGACTCCGATACCATTCTCGACAGGCATACTCTCCGGAATTTGGTCAGCCCCTTCATTCTAGACAGCGACGTCGGAGGCGTCACCGGACACCTCTCCGTCTTTAACATCCAGTCTCAAGGATGGGATAGCTTCATCCCTCGTATCCTTGACTGCCTCTTTGAGCAAAACGGCAACATCCCGCGAGCAGCCCAGTCGAAGCACGGATTCATCACCATTCTCCCAGGCGCCATCTCCGCGTTCCGTAGAGACGCCATCCTGCCGCACACCAAGGCTCTCGTGGACAAGAGGTTTCTCGGGCGACCGATGAGGCATGGCGAAGACGTGCAGCTCACGATGGGACTCCTGCGTGATGGCTGGCGTCTCAAGTACCAGAGCAATGCCGTTGGATACACCGTCGCGCCCGAGACATTTCTAAAGGCTTTCCTCATGTACGTTCGCTGGGAGAGGAGCAACTACACCTATTGGATGCTCGGGCTTGTTCGGTTAGCCTTTCGCGATGCGGCGAGATTCTGCACACAGTGCTTTGCTCGACCGTGTCCGAGCGAGCCGGAGCTGCTGCCTCGGGACCTGGAGAAACAAGGGAGCGAAAGAAAGACGATTTCCCGGAAGCAGGATTATCATCCCTTGCTGATGATTTTCTGTCCGGGCTTTGCCAACTTTTCGTACCTGAGTATTGTGATCTCATGGCTACGGGGCTTTTACTTCTCTCCGTGGGTTACAGTCATGAATCTGGGTTGTCTCATCGTGTTCGCCACTTGGTTCAGTACCCTGTTGTTGGCGGATGCCCTTGATGAGAGCGAAAGTAGCATGGCGGTCGAAGGAGACGTCAAAGAGTCAGACGAGGCTTCGGTACTAAGAAGTGAAGGCTCGTATTCGAGACTGAGGAAGAAGTTGCAGTACTCTTGTTTCTCTACAGTTGCCAACTTCACGTTTGTCTGTTGGGCCTCTGTTATTGGGTTGCTCACACTGAGGAGTCAGAGTTGGTTGACAAGGTGATGGTCTCTGCGATAATGGATGCGACTTCTTAGACAGTATTACCAATCAATGTGCGCTCAGACTACTTTCTGGAAGAGAGCCTGCGAAAGAGAGCAGAGTGTTCGTTCTCTTGAACCCGAAAGAGGAAAGAAGCCGATCAAGCAGATAACACTATCCGCCACTCAGTCTCCGAGTAGAGCAGCGGAGTCGAGAGACAGAATCAGAAAGTTTTGGCGCCCATCTAACCCCCTGCGATTTCGCCATCGACTTGCGGCATCCCCGTGTACGAGACTATCGTATGGAGTAGTCTGCCACAAGCCAAGCTGAAAATGCAAGTGACAGCTCGGGTTCTCCCTCTTTACGGCAGGTATTGGCAAGCACGTCGGGGGCCCAGCCACCGGCGTGGCAACGGACGTTGCATTGGACCCCTTGACCAGGATCCATAAGCTTATACAGAGTGGCCAGTGACAGTCTCGTTTCCATCATCTTCAGCGCTTGCTTCATCTATTTAGAGTTTCGGGCCGACAGAAAGAGGGGGAACGTGGCTAAGCGATACTGCCGCGTGGGATGCGAGGAACGGAGAAGATTACAAGACACGTGTGAGCTGGGATCAATTGCTGCTGCTTGGGCAATATTACAGATATTCTGCCGTGCGATAATGCCGAAGGGATGGGGGTAAGAGGCGGGAAGGGAATGGAGCAGCCCGCCTCTGAGGCCTCGCGCTCCATGGCAAATTTTTTTTTACAGAGTTCGCGAGTGCCCGTTGCTTCATAAGTCTCAGTCTTGTCAAAAGCGCATCTGGGTTAAGGCATATACTAAGATGAGTCCTCGTATCTTGTCAAAACACGGCCAAGTCATCCGAAAATGTACCGTAAGTCGCATAGCCTCTCGAGTCCTCAACCAGGAGCAACACAAACCTAACATGATCTAAAGGTTCCAGGCACAGTAGCATTTACATTCGATGACGACTCGTGGACCGAAAAGGATGACATACTGTCGCTATTTGCACAGCGAAACGCACAAGCTTCCTTCTTTCTAAGGAGTACGCCATGGACCACAGATGTAATAAAAGACGACGGCGGTGAATCCGGGATACAGAAGCTGCACGAGAACGGGCATCTGATTGGACTTGGCACTTCGAGTCGTCGTCCTCGCAGCGATGCGGAACAACAGGAGCTTCTCAAGGCCCGCCAGAAGGTTTACACAGTCTTGGGAGCCTCTCCCGCCTCTGACGACCTTCGACCGCAGTACATTTGGCCGTCCCCGAGCGATTGCACAGTACGAAACGGCTGTGTTGAAAAGTTGACGATAAATGGTCAGCGACTGGTACTTTGGGACACTCAACCCGCGGACATAAGCAACAACACGGAGACTACGCTTCTTCTTGGCAGAGTACAAGCAGCAGATCCTAAACGAGATTCTTTCCTCGTTCCGATACGAGGGCTTCGGAAAGAGAATAACCACAGTATCGGTGATCTACTAGATGGGTTCCTTCAAAAGGGCTTCCGGCCAGTTACCGTAGGAGACTGTATAAATGACCCAAAACACTTTTGGTACTTGGATAACTTGGGACATCCAGCGACAGGCTTGGAATTTGGGCATGATGTAGAAGCACCCGGCACGTTTCTCAGTCAAATTCGATGGGGCGGAATACTGGCTGTAATTTTCTTGGAGTTGATGGCCCTGTCTTGCCTTTTCTGGGCTGTTTGTCGGTATAGAAAGATCAAGTCACACCAACGCGTAGTTCAATGACGACACATTATGATTAAGTCAAGAAAAATAGAGGTACCAAAAAGTGTCAACATATCTTTTGAATCAGACTTACACGGGATGATCTCACAAGAAGTGGGCGGTAACTCGAGAAGCTATGCGAAGACACACCAGGCAAACTGGCTACTTCCTCCTCTGGACATATGTAGGTTCACCAAATGTTGACTACTGAACACCTTGTACACTGGGATTGGGGTTAAGTAACGGCTTCTTGTGTGTGCGAAGTCTACGTGCTCTTCACTCTAATGCCACAACAAGTCACCCTTCTCTCTTCTCCTTCCGAGGTCAAGACTCGGTTACAATTAACCCATCTCCTGTAACCGCTCACTCGCACTCAACACGAACGGACCATACCCCCTTCAAAGTGTGGCACTGCCTGGTGCTGAAGGCAGTAACCGCACTGCCCCTGCAGTTTCCGTTGTTGTATCCTCTCACTAACACCCATTAGTCAGATCATGCTCTTTCTCTCTTTTTGCTTCGGGAAAATAATCGGGCCATTGGAGGATCAAGGGGCCGGTCTTCTTCTTACTCTTGCACTTGGTGTCATAGTCAATGACCTTCATGCCCCAGTCGGTGCTGTAGAGGGCGTGGCACTCGTTTGCGTTCCAGTCCAGGTTGCCGCCACCGGACGAGGAGCAGTCCGTCTTGCCGTACTTCTTGACTCTCATGTCGTAGGCCGCGGCGGCGGGGGCGAAGATGGCGCAGGCCGTGGTGGCCGCAGTGAGGATGTTGGTGATGAGCATCTTGGAAATGAGGTGTCTTAGGGGCTTGTTTAAGATGGTAGTGAAGATGATCCAGGAAGTAGTTGCTGTGGGTTGATGAGAGAGAGGTTGGGAAATAGAGGAAAGAAGACGTGTTTATATGTTCCAGAGACTTGCAAGACTAGACACTGGTCAACTATGCTTCGCTCTTCATCCCGTGTGTGAATGTGAGCCTATGGATGCCTCATGATAGCTGAATCAAAAGTTCCTGACAATCACTTCTCGTACATCCTCAGCCCTGCCTATCCCGGCCTACATTGCTTCTTGCCCTTTCCTCGTCAGGCAAAAAGTTGACAACTCGCCTATTAGGTAACAGTATTCCAAGGTATCGTCAAGGGAAAAGGCTCAGCAGAGACAATGTAAGCGCCAAGAAGCACTGTAGCTCCAGTTCATGACATTTTGCAAGTCGAGTTTCCACTTGTCTCTTGGTAATATCAGAGGACGAGACACAGACAGATTCCTACCGAGGTATCCGTAGAGTTGACACGATTGGTCTAAAAGGTATAGGGCCGGGTTGTTTAGACTTTCGGTCAGTGGGGCTAAGGATTCTACCAGGCATATTGTCTTGTCGATTGGGGCGGAAGGAATGGGTAACTTTGTGATAGAAACTCGAATCCTTCGGACGGGTGGATAATTCGATGAAAAGTCCGAGTAGACGATGTAGTCCGGCTAAAAGTCAACATAACCAACATCAATTGAGAATGAGAAAGAATCATGTTATTCCCAAGCTATCAGAGCTAGACCCCTGAAACGCCGGCCCGTCCACTACTCTTGCACCATACGTACTTCTTTGCCTCCATCGATGCGATTAATAATGAATGGCAAATTCCCATCAAAGGAGCGAGTACATACGACTTCGTGTTGATGCAGAATTCATTTTAGCATCATGCATAATCCATCCCCTTCCCCCAGATCTCCAAGGATCGACCCAAGCCGCCCGCCTTCGCCCGGACAGTGTGGCACGACTAGGGGGGCCTAGGGCTGTGACAGGGGGGGGGGGGTGAGCCTCATATGATGAAAAGTGGGTGACTGTCGGATTGGAAGTCCAATTCGGCCGCGAGTAAGGGCAGAGCATGGGCCACCTCGAGGGAGTACAATTAGACCTCGACTACCCACCCAACCTCCGGTTGAAATCTCCCTTTTACTCCTTACGCAGAATCAATCAATACAGAGATATTGATAGTTCGTCACCCCCAGGACCCTACGGTTCGAACCAACTTCCCTGTGAAAGGAATACCAACAGTGACATCAGCCCACGATATTATTCTGTGTAAATGACAAGTGGTAAACGGGGCAGGGTTCAACACCACGTACATGTATGTAAGTAAGTACTCGTATTGATGTCGATGATTAATTTCGTCGGGCAACCTCGAGGGCGTAGCCGTGGTTCTAGATGATGGGACTGTGAGACAACGTCTGGCTCCTCCAACCAACCACGTATAACTCTCGGGCGGGAAACTCCACCTCCTGCTCGCTTATAGCGGGACTCAAGAGACTCTCGACTTGATAGTGTTGCATTGAAACTGGATCTAGTCTTTAGATGTCGTTGGTCACTCATATACGCCGCAAAAGTCATGGTTAGTCTACGCGCAGTTGAGTTGATCGGAGGATTGAAAGGATCTTACAGCCCGTTCCTTGCGATGCAGGAGATCAGGACCTATTCCCCGTGAAGGTAGTTCCAGGCCTCTCTTTCGAGCCTAGATTGTTTGGTTGGTTGTCGTCAACTTTGAATTGGTAACTCTTGTATAATATGTACTTATAGTATGTACGTATATGTTCTCGTCAAATAGCCTATATGCATACCGCCGGGTGAATAAGGTCCGAAGATGTTTACGCAGTACGTACCTTATCCAACGCGTACCCAGCGCGCCGTGCGAGACGAGACGAAACTTAGTTCCCAAAGATGTCAAGCCCGTGCTCAATCATCCAGTTCATACCCTCTGCCCGCCAGTCGTCCGTCTCCAACACTGTGCCGTTGAGGCCAAACACCACGTCGCTGCCAGATGCACCACCCTCCGTCGAGTATGCAGGCCACTCGCCCAGGCCCGGAGCACCATTAGGATCGAGGGAGACGAAGAAGTTGACCCACGCCGCGGACATTGTCTTTGACAGCGCGGTGGCCTTCTCAGTGTAGGCTGTGTCGTTTCCTCCAAAAGGATTGATGTCATAGCCAAGGCCGTTAAGGTTGTTGAATACGAATGCGACCTGAGTGGGGGTTAGTCTTTGCACAACGGCCGATGGGTTGATGAATCACGCCGTGAATCGCCACGTCGCACGCAACAAACTTACCTCATGGAAGTGAGTCGCGCCAATGAACTCTGGCACTCCATTCACAGTAACGTCGAAGCGGTACGCGTAGGACGGCACACCGTTTTGGGACCATATGATGTTGGCACGGCGGCGTAGGAAGCTAAAGAACCTATGCGAAAGTCAGCGTGTACATGCTATGCGAAGGGGGGTCATTGGGACATAGGTACATGTCTCCGAAGAAAGCCCCGCCGCGTCTCTGCTGCAGACCGCGAGCTACGGCAATTTCCTCGCCGGGCTGGATGATATGTGGCCACGTCTGCAAGCTCGGGATGCCAACAGCCTGGTCATCGGGGTACAGAGCTAATGCCTCGTCAACAAGCTCCTCGATGCTTTGGCCTGTAGTCTCCTCGACATCGGGGGCCATGATGCTGCGTACGGCCCACACCATGTCCTCGTCAGTGTTGATCGGCCCACCGTTCGGGCCCCTTCCCTGGCCGAATGCAGAACCTTCGTCAGAGTTGGATCCGATCAAAACGGGAACCTTTACAAAGTCTCCGCGTTCGAGTTGCGACGTCGCAAAGTCTGCGAGAAAGTCGCCATCCTTCATGGGGATGAAGCTGAAGGGAGACGTAGTCGCGTTCAGCACAGCGTTGAACTCATCCAAAGGTGCTGTACGCAGGCACTCTATCGACTCCTGGGTGCCGATAGTGGAGGCGCAGGTGGAGATGTTGCCGACGAAGAGGTCGTAGTTGCTCTGGTAGGAAGTGGAGTTGAAGCCGCCGACCATACGGGGAATGAGTCCTCCGAAGCCGGACTCCGCAGCCGCGCCCCTGAAGAGGCCATCGTTGCGTCCTTGATGGTGTTAGTTGCAGGTACATCTCGCATGCGTATGATGGCAACTCACCGTTGTATGCCAGCATTTGCCCAGCGACACTTTCAGCACCTGAACTTTCACCAAAGATAACGACCTTGTCGGCGGCACCGCCGAAGCTGGCAATGTTTTCGTTGACCCAATGCAGAGCCAGGCGTTGATCTCTGAAGCCCAAGTTGGTCGCGCCAGCATCAAGGGCCTCCTTGCCACCCGGGAAGCCAAAGACGGACAGACGATAGTTCAAGCTGACCGCAACGAGGGGAGTCCCCTGCTTGACGCTGTTCTCGACGATGAAGGAGAGGTTGTAACGCCTATCCGCTGATCCGCCCATGTACTTCTCCCTGTCAGCAGTGGTTCTCGCGAGGGTCCGGCGATGGAACATACCAGACCGCCTCCATGGATCCACACAGCTACGGGAAGCTGCGCGTCGGGAGCCACGCCGGCTGGGCGAACAACATTGAGATACAAGCAGTCTTCCGAAGACTCATAGCCGATCATGTCAGATCCGTATCCGATGCAATGCTTTGGGTACTCCGTGGCCGTATGGGTGCCGTCCCATGTTGAGTCTAGGCCTTGAGCGATGCGGAATCGTTCAGGAGTCTAGAATGTTCAGTATGTCGTCATCAACAGAAGGTTACAGCCACCTACCTTGGCGTATGGCATTCCAAGGAAAAAGTCCTGGTCATACTCTGCGCTGTGAATGCCTGCGTACGAGCCATTCTTTAGGCTGACAACGGGGCCGTTGTCTCTACAGCGGATAGCGGCGGACCACACCGGCGCGGAAAGGTACAGCACCGTGGCGAGGAAGTACACAAAGAAAGCCATTCTCTTCAGAAGCTGATATCGATCCGGTTGAGGCCTGGGTGTCGACAAAAGGGGAGATTGGTCATTAGGGACTTTAGAACCCTCTTTATACCGCGACCTCTTCATGTCGGATGGCATCGTCTACTAAGGTACTATGCTCTCGCACCCCATTAGTAAAGAATGGCCACGAGATTTCATTCGACAAGGGTGGACGGCAGTCAGAAACTGGGGTCTATCGGACCGACACAATTCGCTTCGTTACATGGCGAGGGGAATAGCTAACGGAGATCGAATGAGGGACGTTCGCATGGTTGCCGGCCCTCCATCATCGCCCCAAGTAAGTAACCAAGGCGTGAGGCACTATTCGCGCCCCGCGCCCGATGCCCTACGCCCGAGGCGAGTTGACGACCCAGGACTTTTCGTTGTCCAGAGGCGGGACAACTCCGGGAATTCACTCCTCTCCGCATAGAAAACGCAAATATGAAGGGGGTGATCGCACCAGAAGTGGCCTAGCAATTCCCCATCGGGTGGTAATGATGCTCTCTTTCGGAGTCGCTACCAGGGCCATATCCGCGTGGGTAGCAGTGGATGCCGGCTGTAGTGAACGGCAGAAGAAATCCAGTCGATTATCGACGTGACAGAAAGCCGGTGGAGGTTGATGCGGGGAGCGGGGGGGGGGGGGAAACCTGGGGTGTCCCCGGGACAAGACGAAGAGCGAGATTGGCAGATTCGGGGGCGGATGGGAATGTTGAATGAACGAACCTCCACCATGGCTTACCTTGATTGGTCTTAGCTCGGGGTTCTTGATGTCTCCGACAACAACCAAGTCCGAGTAAGTCGGCACCTTGGTCTTTGCACAAGGGGCGCGAGGGGAAAAGCTGTTCCAGCGTTCCAGCGGCAGACGGAATGCGGAATGGGGAGGGCTGAGTGTGTGTGTGTGTGTGTGTGTTTCTTGTTCTCAACGTGGTATTCGGGGCGGGTAAGCTTAGCCAAAACGTGGTTTTTGGAGCTTGGCCTTAGTGTGTCCGCGTGCCAGTCGCAGAGAATGATCGGAATGCGAGTCTTGCCCGCATTCCTCGGACCATGTGGTCGAATAAAGAGCGAGCTGGGGAATGTGGATATATGAAGTCAAAACGGAGCCGTGTCTTTGTTCGGAGAAAAGAAGAAGAAGAAGAAGATGTCGAAGAAAGACGTTGCAGATCTGATGCATTCCTGCACCGACCGCATTGACGGGAAGTTTGACATGTTTCTTTCCCCAAACCCAATCCCGAGGGACCTTCCTCGCAAAGTGAACGCTCGGGCGCCATTGGCTCAATTGACTTTCGGAAGAGTGGGGCCAATGTTCTTCAATGGAACTCTGCTGCGACTTCACCTCACCTCAACTCAACGTCATACGCGCTTAATCGCGGCCTTGAGACTCTTGAAATACGTATGAAAATGTGTAAAGAAATATAGAA